TGATTCAGAAAGATTGCCATGGAGAAAAGCACTGTTAACATCAAGTTGTCGAATGGGCCAATTCTGAGCTAGAGCGAGAGAAAGAATGATGTGAATAGTAGTGGGTTTTACCACGGGGCTAAATGTGTCAGTATAATCAATCCCCAGTGATTGGTGGTAACCTTTTACTACAAGACGAGCTTTATAGCGATCAAGAGTACCATCAGGTTTACGTTTTGTGCGAAAAACCCATTTACAACCGACAATGTTGGCATCTTGAGGAGGGGGAATAAGAGTCCAAGTGTTATTACGATTAAGAGCATTGAATTCATCAAGCATAGCCTGACGCCAATGAGGGTATTTGTTGGCCTGAGTAAAGGATGTAGGGTCAAGATTAGAAGATGGTGAAGTTGTAGCAGTATAAGTAACATAATCAGAAAAAGTGCGAAGAGTGCAAGTATGGTCACGAGTACGAGTGGTCATTGAATGTTGAGGTGGAGGTGGAGGTGGTGAAGGCTGTGATGGAGGTGGTTGTGTTGAAGTACAAGAGGGTCGAGTTGAAGGAGGATTAGGTGCGGACAAAGGGAGAGGTAGAGAGATTGCTACACGAGATGGGGTTAGTGATGGGAAGAAATTGGAGATGGGGAATTGAGCAGTTTAAGTATGAAAAATCAGTTTCAAGGAATCATACATGACGCGAGATGTGCACCTTGGAGGTGATAGGATCAAAACAACGGTAGCCCTTATACTGAGAGGAGTACCCAATGAAGACACATGGTGTAGATTTTGGAGTGAGTTTGTCAGTGCGTGTAGATCCTAGAAAAGGAAAACAAGTACACCCAAAGACTCTAAGGTGTGATAGGTCAGGAGTAATATTATGATTAGACTGTAAGGAGAGTTGTTTTGAAGCGTGGGACTTGGGAGAAGGTTGATAAGATAGATAGCAGTTTTAAAAGCATTGAACCAAAAGGATTTTGGAAGAGAAGCATGGAGGAGAAGAGTGAGTCCAATTTATGTTATATGCAGAATTTTTCTCTCAGCTATCCATTTTGTTGAGGGGTATGGAGACATGATATGCTGTAAGAGATGCCATGAGAAGTTAAATATTGTGCAAAAGAACCTTTGATAAAATCATATGCACCATCACATTGGAAAGTTTTTATCGTAGTAGAAAAGAGATTTTCAACGGTGGTTTTAAATCTTTGGAAATGAAGAATTGCTTGAGATTTGTGTGTTAGTGGAAAGATCCATGTGAAACGACTATAGTCATCTACAAAAATTATGAAGTAACGATGACCTGAAAGAGATAAAGAAGGAGCAGGACCCCATATATCACAATGAATAAGGCTTAAAGGTTTAGTAGAAACGCGAGTGGATAAAGAGAAAGGGTGACGAGTACTTTGCATTGAAAACATGAAATACAATGATTCACTACATCAGATTTTGACAATAAACCAGCATACGATTTGGACAAGGTAGCTGAACATAGATGACCAAGACATTGGTGCCACAAATCAGGAGAAACATGACAGACAGCAAGAGCAACATGATTTTTGAAAGCTGGAGGAATCCTCATAGGGTAGAGATTATTTTGGATGTTGCCCGAGAGGAGTAGTATTCTCGTGTGGAAATCCTTCACAAGATAACCAAAAGGATTAAATTCAGTGAGACATGAGTTATCTTTAACGAATTTACCAACAGATAACAAATTCGCAGTAAGATTATGAACAATCAAAATATCATCAAGAGAAAGAGTCCGAGCAGGAGTTGGAATTTTCAATTTTCCAATGGAAGATATAGGAAAAATTATACCATTGCCAACAATTACTTGATTTGGGCCTTGATACGGTACCACGGATTCAACTAGCTATGGATCAGGAGTCATATGGGATGTAGCACCGCTGTCGGGAAGCCATTCAGGTAGGCTGGAGGTAATAGAATTGTCATTGGTAGAGTTAAGGCTTAAGGTAGAAAATGCAGTTTGCAAATTGTTTGGGTTGGGATGAGGATTTCTTTGACTGTTACGAGATTCGGCATATCGGAGCCGACATCTGGCAGTAGTGTGCCTTCTTCTCTTGCAGATTTGGCATTGTACAGGGTTGGTTTGAGAATTTGAATTCGGGGAGGTGGATGAAAAATGGTTATAGGGTGGACGGGATGATTGAGAAGTGTGTTTCATCGGTGGATTTTCAGTATAGTTGGATGTAATTTGGTTTGTGGATTGATGTGGACTGGCCGGCACAAACCTGTTCTGCATAATGGAGTTCTAAACTAATTCGAATTTGGTGAAGGACGTACAAAATTTAACTGACCTTGGCGTTCTTGTGCAACGCGTCTAGAGTTACCCCCACGATGGAAATTCACAGCAAAGCCTGTTTCTTGGGAAGAAACCGGTGGTCCATGGAAAACAAGTAGTCGTTGCTCATAGATTAGAAGCTTTGTTCAGAGCTCATCGAACGTCGGAGGGATTGGCTGATTATCAATTGCGGTGATGAACCATTCAAAATCTGCCGGCAAGCCATTGAGGGTGAAGAGAACAAGATCTATATATGTGACATGATCTCCAATTGCAGCCAACTCTTCTGCTATTGATGAAATTCTTGCAAGATAATCTGTAATGGAAAGATTTCCTTTGGTTACTGTGTGAAGGCGGCCACGGAGCTAGGAACGACGAGCAACTAATTATTGAAGATAATTTTGCTCCAACTTGATACAAAGAGCACGAGATGTTGTGCATCCAAGAGCCAAAGATGCAATTGTTGGAGACAATGTGGCTATAATACAACTGTAAACAAGCCTATCATGCTTTTGCTAATTTAAAAATTCATGTGAAAGAGTTTCAGCACTGGAAGTTGTGGACGAGTTTTTGGGAGGTGGTGATAAAGTGCCATCAATGTAACCAATAAGGTCACAAGTAAGAAAAATAGACTCTACTTGATTTCTCCATATGAGGTAATTTTTGGAGTCTAAGGTAGTTGTAATGAAAGATGTTATATTGGTAATAGGAATTGGTGTTGTTGAAGTTGTAAGAATGTTCCCAGTAGTCATGATTGTAAGGGAAAGGTAAACTAAAAGTAAAATAAAAGGTAATGAAGCAGGATCAGTGGATTAAGGGGTAAAAAATGTGCGCTCTGTATACCATGAAAGAAAATATGAAGTGATTGTATTTCATTCACTATGTATTTACAAGATTACAATACTTGTCTATTTATATAGAGATAGAGATCCTATGACAGAGTAATTCTAGTAAATGCAAATAAATACAAATAAATGTAATCCCTAAAAATATGAAAAAAAAATACAATTAATTCATTACTAAAATCATGTCCTAAATATTAGTTCAAGCCTAAAATCATGCCCTTCTATTATGTCTTATCATATATATTACTCCCACCATCCAAAAAACATAGTCCACATTAAATTTTGGATTTTGTACTGTTTTTAGTACAAATTTGAAAACTCAATGTGAACTATTTGCTTTGGTATGGAGGTAGTAGCATAATTTTATCTTTATTATAGCTTGTAATATCACCTATTCTTAAGAGCCTGTGTCAGACACATATGTCGCATAGACCATAAGACTATCTTGGATCCTAGGGAAATATTTTAGTTCTCTCTCTTTTCTCTATAATTCTTTCTAATCTATTTTCAATCTATCTTACTGCCTTTGGATTTGTTGTTTCCATAGCTTATCATCATGTTGTGTATCCTTTTGTTGTTTCCATAGCTTATCATCATGTTGTGTACAAATTGAAACTTGAGAAATAAAACTGTGTGCCCTGTTTCCACTAATAAGAACAATCCTGGTGTTGATTTACACAAACCCAAAAAAAAATAAAAATAAATAAGAGTTAATCGAAATGAAACCATCAACGTATATGGTTGTACGCAGTTCATTTATGAGTGCTAAACTTATAAATCTCTAATTCTGTCCTGTGCGACTAGTACTCTTTTGAATCATTTTACTCATTCTTGTTCGAGAAGGTGAATCATGATGAATAATAATTAAAATATCGCACTGCTTGAAATAACTTTTTATATTTAAATTTTAGTAGAGCATTTAGCATTACTTGAAATAGTACTTTTTCATTAAAGAAAAAATGTAAAGAATGATCTGAATGTATTATTACTCGAAGAGATTTAGAGTAACTGTGTAATTGAGAACAAAGGCACTTCAAAATGATGAAGCATTCTTGCTTGCAAGTTCGCATTTGTATAGAGTCAATAGTTAAAAAGATACTTAAAAAAGAGATAAGCACTTCTTCCTAGTAAACTTAGGGCGGAGAAAAATATCAAGACTGGAAAACTTAATAGAATAGTTCGTAAACCAGATATAACACAATCATCTAAGTCAAAATGGCACATAATAGAATAGTTCAAAAAATTCTGAAGTTCCAAGGGACCTAAGAAAACTTATTTTTACTTGAATTGCTTTTTCATAATTGACAATACTTCAAAAAGATTTTACATTCACATGTGCCATAACTTCTCTTTGATCATTCTCAGAACAGCGAGAAATACAATACTGGCTTCAATCTGTCAAGCATAACATGTTATATATGGTACTTAAACAAATGTGGAGCTGGTGATAGTTTTCTTTCTTTAAGTGGGTCAACTGGGTTTAAACACAATAACTTTTTTCTTTTTGGGTTAATATCAAAAACACCCCTGAGCTTTGACCCATTATCTAAACACACTCTTCTTTTGGATAAATATCAAAAACATCCCTTGACCAGCGAGTCAACTAAAAAAACGGTCCTCCGGCGTCGGGAAAGTGATGTATGCATATGACATTTACCCAAAAATAACAAAAAGACGTTTATATCCTCTGAAATTTCAAAATTACCCCAAATAAACCACAAAACAAATATCTTTTTTTATTTTTTTATTCATCTCCCTAACTAAAAATTCAACACCAACAACCGTTCAATTCACTCATAGAGATCGTCATGCTCCAATTGCAAAGCCAATTAATTGCACCGTTGCAATGAACCCCATGTTTGAAATCACAATTCTTTTGAATGGCTCTCGTGAAAATCTCCGAGAACTCTTATCAGATGAGTAGATTTCAATTTGATAAAAATTCGGATCCAAATCGGAGTCCCCGACGCAAACAACTTTCTAGCTTGGGATTTTTCCGGATCAAAAAGTCAAATCCCTACTTCACGATCGAGATGGCATCGAAATTGCTCCGATTTGCTTTGTGGTGGGCGTTGAGCTTGGGCAAAAAAATTAAGAAATACGTGTGCCTTTCCACCATCGCCAAACTACCACCAGTGACCAGACCCATAATTCTTATCACCTCCTCCTCTAATCTTGCCGCCTTCTCTCATAATAATCCAACAAAATCTACTTAAATGAAATAATAAATCAAGGTTTTAAGGTGAGAAGCTATAGATTTAATGGTTTATTCTTTGAATTTGAAGTGGCGAGGGTTAGACTTAGAAGGGAAGGAGATGAGATGGTGGCTTGGAGGAGGAATTTGATGGGAAAGAAGGAAGAAAGAAGTAGTGCGGCGGCTATTGTGGTAGGTTAGGATTTAACGACAAAAAAAATGTTGGGAGAGTTTTTTAGCCGTTAAAGTAATTAATTTTTTTTATTCATTATAAGAAGGAATTTGGCCGGGATTGTGTTGGTTTTTTAGACATTTCACCCAAGTTTAAGGACATCTGGTCAAGGGATAATTTTAGATAATCGATCAAATCTTGAGGGTGTTTTTGATATTAACCTCTTTTGTTTTTGGGTACAGAAAAGGAAGAAAAAAATAAAATTTTAATGGGCTGAAGAACCTTTAGGCCCAATGTTCAACGTATCCAATTCAATTAAGCGACACGGTCTGTACTCTGTAGTCTGTAGCCTTTTCTTCTGCGCGTCTAGCCGTCTACTACTACAGGTCAAAAACTCCCGCCACGTAATCACCGGTTCATAGGACAAAACCGGTTCGTCATTTTTTTCCTTTTGTTTTTTCCCACTTTCAGAAAGTCTTTCTTTTCTTACCTTCAAGATTCGGGTCCGTTTCAAAACCCCTTTCCCCTCCCAAAAGGATTTTTTCAATTTTGATTTCAACTCAGTTTCAATCTAGGGTTTAATTTTCGTTCTACGTGCACGGCATACATTCGAACGATTCTTCTCTGGAACTCATTACGTAGATTTATAGACGGAGCTGCCGTGACTGTCCGGAGAGATCCTCGATCCGGTGAGCTCCTTTTTCTTCTGTAAATTTACATCACTTTTCGTTTGAAATTGCATTGCCTGTTGTTTTATGTGAATTTCGACGCGCATTTTCATTTTCACGCGTTATGTAGTTGAAATTTTCTCAGTATGCAATTTTCCTTAACCTCTGTTTGAATTAGGAGATGTCGCGAGCTGAGGAGCTGTGGGAGCGTTTGGTGCGTGCAGCTCTACGGAGACAAAGGCATGGTGCCGATGCCTTTGGCCGAGTTGATGGTGGCATTGCTGCCAATGTCCCATCTTCTCTTTCAAACAACAGGGACATTGATGACATTCTTAGAGCTGCTGATGAGATTCAGGATGAAGATCCAAGTGTTTCGAGAATATGTATTTAACTTATCTAAATCCTTGTTTGTTCACCTGTTTCCTTTTCTTGTTGTTGAGAAGCCTTTTATGGTGCTGAGTACTTGGTGAAGATGATCATTGCGGCATGATTGATTTAGTTTCAAAATTTAATAACTACCTGATAGCCTTATGGATGTCTGGAAGTATTTTCTTTTCTCATCAGGACTAAACTCGTGATTGTGAATTTTTATGGTGCAAGTAGATGGATAGCACCTTAGTGTTAAATTTCAGGTGTTTGCTGGGCAACTTTTATGTTTACTTTGTCATGTAGCAAAGGAAGAGTTTCACATAGCTTGCGTTTTTTTAAATTTTTATTTTAAATTACATATTATATCTTTTTCCTTTTGCCTATTGTTCCCCTCATTTAACTCTTACCATGTTGTCATTCAGAGGGTCTGCCATATTATTTCCCCCCTCCTCTTCTATTTCTTTGTGGAGTTTTCCTGTTTAAATGCTTAAACCTAATTGGCAACTGTATCATATTCACAAGATCTATGTTAATGGAGCTCAAGATAATAATCCAGAACCTGTACTTACATTTACCAGAACATGAATGCAATCTCAAATATTAATTGTATACCTTAGAATAGAGGAGCATCTGATACCTTACCTAATTAATTCGTTGCAGTGTGTGAGCATGCCTATTCGCTGGCGCAAAACTTAGATCCCAATAGTGAGGGAAGAGGTGTATTGCAGTTCAAGACTGGTTTGATGTCTGTAATCAAGGTACCTTTTTATTGTAATGATTGTAATGTTGTCCCAATTCAAGTTTACCTGGTATACTCATGCTGAGCATTTCTTTTGTGTCATAATTATTTGTTGAAAGTGTGTAAATAAGTGATTCATGACCCTTCTTTATTTCTGATACTATTCTGCTCCTAGCCTATCCTTTTGTTTTGTCTCATACATATTGTTGAGAAGGGGGTAAATTGTGGCTTGACATGTGAGGTAAAATCCTTCTTTAGTTCCTATTCTTTGGTCCTCGGCTTTTATCACCTGCCATCACTAGTTGAATTTTTCATCATTTATGTGGCAATAGAGCTACTAGACAATAAGGATGTTTTTAGAAAAGGGAGTGAAGTACTTGAACAGCATACTTACATGAGTGCACTTTTGGTGCACAGGAAACCTTTTTGCCTAGTGATTTTTTCCGAACTAAATTGTGCCATGCTAGACCAAGAAACAAGGATTTGTGTTTCCGATTTGTCACTCATCCTGTAAAGGCTTATTGTGGATATGCTTGATGAAGTTTGCATATCATATGTAGTTCATTCACATAAATCTAATGTGGCTAGGGACAAAAATATTTTGTAGAGCATAGTGGTCTATTACTTTCTGAATATAAATTTTTTTTTTTTTTTTTTGGGTTTGGTTGATGAATTACGTAGCAAAAATTAGCAAAACGAGAAGGTGGAAGCATTGATAGAAGCCGAGACATCGCTCGCTTGCAAGAGTTCTACAAGCGTTACAGGGAGGCAAATGATGCAGATAAGCTGCGCGAAGAGGAAATGAAGTTGAGGGAGTCGGGAATTTTTAGCGGCAACCTTGGAGAGTATGTATTTGTTAGCTGAACATTATTTCTCATGTACATAGGACTTTATGCTAGATATTAGACGCTCTTTGAAGTTTCCAGCCCTCATTTCTATTTACGTGATTGGTTTCTAATTGCTGCTTATCACTGAAACTTTCTTCATATCCCATTATTTTCATAATTTGAAGTTTAGGAATTCTTTATGGGTACGGGTATGCCTTTTTCTTTGTGCTATTGTTTTATTTAGAATCACGAGCCAATCTGTTGATCTTGTTTAATCCATTGGATTGGTTGTCAAAGAAGAAATGCTCGCATACTTTCTGGTTTGTGGTTTTATACGCAGTTTTTTGTTTGTTTCTTTGTGATTTCGGCTGTGCTTTGAGTTGTATGTTGGGTGTTTTGTTTTGCCTTCTCATTTCAAGTATTTTTCTGTTATAAATGGTGATTAGGTTGGAGCGCAAGACTGTTAAAAGGAAAAGGGTTTTTGCGACCCTGAAAGTGTTAGGGACTGTTTTAGAGCAATTGACAAAGGAAATCCCTCCTGAAGAAGCAGACAAATTGATTTCGGAAGAGGTCTGAATACATCTCCTTTGCATTGTTGTTTTTGTTTTGCATTTGGAGGTTTATCTCTCTCACAATCGAAAGTCAAGGCTATGTTTGTTTCCTTCTTTGAAAATAAATTTTTCTCCATAAAAAACTCAACAATAACAATGTTAAAACTTAGAATTCAGAACTCACATTCCCTCAAAACTGATGATATTAAGAAAACAATTTCTCTCCGCTTTACGTCTTGTTTACCTTCTAAAAAAACGAATCCCACCAACACTACTTTTCCTCTTCGAGGAAATTCCCCTGAGAATCATCCAACCATAGCCTAACTTTTCCTCTGAAAATCAAACAACCAAGCAACCACAAATATTTCAAATTTCCTTCCTCAAAAAAAGTCTCTTCCATGGAAATCCTTCCCCATAAAGAGTTAAACGAACGTGGCATTTCCTTCTGTGATTATTATTTGTACTTTATTATGATATAAGAGGGTCTTGTCAAGAGCCTGTGAAACATGATATCAGTGGCTATGAAATTGTGTTTGTGAGCAAATCTAATTGGCTACTCCCTCATAGTAAATACGTTGGACCTCTTAGGCATGGATGATCATATAATTTGTTTTCTTAGTGTAATAAGTAACTCTCTTTTGCCCAATCCAGCTTTTCTCTTGTCGAGGTAGATCTAAATGGCCCTCTTAGCTTTTTGATATTCAAGAATCATTAAACGTGGATTTTCATAGCTTGAGATGTAATTGTTCTTCTAATTGTGTTGGAATCTGCCAGCTCATGTACAGCTTCACCTAGGCTCCACTTTTGATTTTAATAGCTGGTTTTTAAGAGAATGGTCAAAATGTACATTTCTTAGTTTTAGAGCACACCAAGAGCTGTGATCTCCTTATTTAATTTAAAATACAATGAGATACACCAGTTGAAGTACTGCATCAAATCTGCAATTTGATGTCCTGCTCATAAGATTTGCTTGAAGTTGTTCCGTTGCTCTTAAAATTGTGTATAGATGCCCTATAGATCACAAGTTCATGATATAAGTTCTAGGCACATGCATTGAACCTCAGTCATGACGGAAAGAAGCTATGTGTAAAGAAGCACCTTTAAGTTTGTGAAATCTGTATATATAACAGCTGTAAACCCATGAGCAGTTAATTACAGAGTAGCACTTGATTCAGGTAACTGTTTCGAGATAGAGAGAAGGGAGCTTAACTACAGTTTGTTGAGGCCAGAGAAGTAGTAGTAATACTCTTTGTAGATGTGCTACTTTTCCGATGGCAGTGTGATTATTTTGCTTAATGAAACTTGATGAGATTTGTAAATGCTCCTCATATTGCAATTATTGATTACCTGTTTCTTAAGTTACTCTATAAGCAACAATTACTTGACATTTATCTTTCATCAGGGATTTGTAGAGTCTCCTTTGACTAAAGAATTTTTTTAAAACTGATGTTATCTTCAGTTGTTCCCATTTTCCTCTCCAAACATCAGATTGCCATATTCTTCATTGGTGTAGTGGAACTTGTGTAATGCCTTAAAGTTGCTATAGTGTTATCAGCATAAAAATACTGAGATTGAACCTGCAGTTCTTGAATTTTAACCTGCATATTGGACTTTCTTTAATCAGCGCCTGCAACTCTATAATACTTGTATTTCTTTCCCTTTTCAGATGAAACGAGTTATGGAATCAGATGCAGCTATGACTGATGATCTTGTTGCGTACAATATTATCCCCTTGGATGCTCCTACAACAACAAATGCTGTTGCATTTCTTCCTGAGGTCATGCTACTTTCATCTATTGCATAATTTCAGTCTTGCTGGTGTTAGTAGTGTTTATTAATTCTATTGAGCACAGGTTCGCGCAGCAGCTTCAGCTATAAAATACTTCAGGGGTCTACCAAAATTGCCGGCTGGCTTTCCGATACCGCCAACAAGGAATGCTGACATGTTTGATTTTCTACATTTTACATTTGGATTTCAGGTAGCAACTGTTGTCTAATTTTACAGCTCACTATATTTTTATGTGATGAGGATTTGTGAATGTCCCGATTACCCACTGTACTGGGCATTACACTTGACGTGGTTTGATTTAAGCATTCATGAACCCTTGAAAATTCTTTTCTAATTCATTGATTGTTTTATTTGTTATTAGAATGTTAGTTTTCTTTTTGATGATGGAAGTATTGTTTCAGTTTCTGGTGTAACTTGAACAGAGTTTCTTCAACATTTTTATGATCATTTTCTATTATCCTTTTTCTTCCTCCTAAGTTAGCTTGTCGTGCCAAGCTACTTTTTACCCCTCTGGTGTTGAGACTATTTATTTCATTATCTTTGCAGAAAGATAATGTTTCTAATCAACGTGAACATGTGGTGCATCTCCTTGCAAATGAGCAAAGTAGACTTCGTGTTCTTGAAGATCCTGAGCTGGTATGATCTGTTTTAAGCTGTACTTGTTTGCTGATAGATTGATTATTTTGATTTTCTGTTCCATTGAAGATTTAATGTTTCAAATTTATTCTTAAATTGTAATCTTTTAAGTTTGAAATGGAAGATCATTGCTAAAATTTATTATTACAGTACTACCAAACTGCTATCCTTTTGGGAAAATGAATAGCCTGTACTGCAGTCACATATACAAAACGAAATAAGAAAACCCATTGAGAAGAAAGCAGACTGTTAAGAGTGGATGGCTAGCTAAATTTCTTAATAATATAGACGACCCATCAGCCTTTCTGTTTTCACTTCTCGAATGGACCTTTAGTTCACATCTTGAGTTTTATTCTTAAAATGGTGACGTGAATCTCCGGTAGAATTGCATGGATCAATTTTCAACCAGCTCTTCCTACACTTGAGTTTGAAGGGTCTTTGGTTTACGTGTTGAGTAGATGAAACTATTGACCTGTCTGGAAATCGTCTATGTAGTGTGGCTTACCAATTGATGTTATATGCTTTCCTTTCAATTTTTCTGATTGCTGATTCTAAAGTCTGGTACTTTTGGTCCTAGTTATTAATATATATGTTCTCTTATTGAGAAGGTTTATGGGACGTGATATATGAGATGAAAACATGCCATGATTACTTCAGCTTTTTCTGCAGCTGTGATTCTTTTTATTGGTGACTGTTTTAGGAAGGTCTTTTACGTTATACTCTGCTTTTCTCAGATATTGGATGAAGCGGCAGTTCATTGTGTGTTCCTGAAGTCCCTCGAGAACTACATTAATTGGAGTAAATATCTGGCAATTTTACCAGTATGGAGCAAGTATGTAAAATTTTGTGCACATTCCACAACTTCCAAAATCTCTGATGTTTATGTATTTTTTTTATTATCTTTGTTTGTCATAGGAATACAATATCAAATGCATGTATTTTGCTGTACCCATAATTGGCTTTTGGTAATTTCTGCAGTCTGGACGCTGTGAGCAAGGAGAAGAAGTTGCTGTTTATTTCTTTGTACTTTCTTATCTGGGGTGAAGCTTCGAATATCCGATTTCTCCCAGAATGCTTATGCTATATTTTTCATCATGTAAGTTGGCTCACAACAGAAGTTGTAATTGATAACGAACTTTTGTATTTTCTGCAACTGCAAGGCCCCATTTTTATTATATCATGTGAGGCAAAAAATTTGAATCTTTCGTTTACTGTTCATCCTTCTTCTTACTGTGCCTGCTTCGTCTCTTAGCAATTTGTATGTAAGTTATGAAAAGTTTTGGATCCTTCTCATGAGCATAATATTTCCGTGAGTTCTAGGTGGTTGAAGCCGATGAGAACTCCATAGAACTGTGCCATTTCCCTATTTAATTAATTGATGGTAAACAAAAAGAATATTATTTGTCATTGTTTAGGTGGTGATGATGAAGAATGGATTAGGATCTGTGATTTTTTGCTTGACTGCGATTAATGCTGAGAGATTATTTCCTTTTGTATGTTCTTTTTAGTTCACTGATTGTGGTGATTGGTTTTCTGAATGGTATTGTTGTTGATTCTAAATTTTTACTGATTAAACAGATGGGACGGGAACTAGAAGAAATCTTACGTCAGCAGGTTGCGCAGCCTGCAAACAGTTGTGTCTCTGAGAATGGTGTTTCATTTATTGATCAAGTAATTCGTCCTTTATATGATGTTGTTGCTGCGGTATGTACTCATATTTATTCCTTCTTATTCTCTCTCCTTCTCTGTCTCTGTCTCTCACCCCCCCCCCCTCCATCCACACACTCCTTTAGAGGTGTCAATCAAGTTTCGTTCTTGCCTTAAAAAGAAATCCTCAAGCTTTTTATGAAAGAAGGGGTGGGCATGTTCACACACATGGTATCATGCCAAGTTGCACGAAATACTGTTCCTGTGATTGGCAGAGGTGAAACAAATGATTGTCAAAAAGGCATTAAATATGAAAGTTTGGCCTAGGAGCTTAATGTCCTTTAACTGTTTTTCTTTAGATCTTTCTGGTTTGTGTTCATTAAAGTATGGAAAATCCCAAGTTTAAATAATATCATATCCTTTGTGTGAAATTTAAATTATATTCTGAATTTTAAATTATATTTTGTATGGCAAATAGCTGGCCTGTTGACTAATATTCAGCCCAGGCTAAATATCAGTTGCTTAATACATGTTTGTGTTCTGGTGTGTAGGAAGCTTTGAACAATGACAATGGCCGAGCACCACATTCTGCATGGAGAAATTATGATGATTTTAATGAATATTTCTGGTAAGGTGGACATTCTGCATGGGACAAATGCTTGTTGTTTCTCTCTCTCTCTCTTTTGTTTTTTTTTCCCGTATTCTCCACAACCCCCCCTCTCCCCTTATAGCTAATTCCCGCACTCTGTGATTATGTTTCAAGGTCCCTTCGTTGCTTCGAACTTAGTTGGCCATGGCGGAAGAGTTCTTCATTCTTCTTGAAGCCTGCCCGTAGATCAAAGGTGTCCTGTACGCTCATTCATTAGTGGTGTTTTTGCATTCTTTTCTTTGCAATTAAGGGGGGCCCATTCCAGGAACATTATTATTGGGAAAATAGTAATTGCCTTCTTTGCTGGGCAGAATGCAAACTTTACTGTTTAGAAGCTTTTCATCTATTAAGAGATTTAAATCATAAAGTTAGTTGGAATATAATGTAGCAGGTATTGACAAAAGAGTTAAACCGGATATGGATATTAAAGTTATGTATAAAGATATAACACGTATAAAGGATGCTGGTAGGATCTCAGGTTTAGTCCTGGATGTATGGGTCTGGGCCAGGGATCCGCTTTGAGTGCATATCATTTTACTTATTTATTGACAAGATTACTAAGTGTTTACAAAAAGCCATTTCAACAAATTTGTTGATTCATAGATACAGTACTAGCTTGTGTGTGCAATTGTAGTCTTAGTATGTATAATTTAAATTGGTGTTTTTTATTCCCAGTGATGTTAGTTAATTTGATATTTATGAAAATTGGTGTTTTTTATTCCCTGTGACGTTGGTTAATTTGATTTTATGAACAAGAAAAGTTATGGAAATATCAAAATTTTGAATCCTACTTTAAGAACTGATTTTTTGAGCCCGACTAGAGTGAAAGGATTACTCAGTGGGGGATGGCTTTCAAACCACCCTATTTGAAGTTATGCAACCGTATCCAACTGTGTTTGGGACTTTGCTCAAACACTTTTAACAGATGTCATAAAAATATTTCCTGAAGTAGATTTTATCCCAAGAGCTTTTAATTTTTAAAGTTTCAAACTTCGTATAGGTGTATAAAATGAGAAACTACAAAAGATGTTCTAGCGGGGTATTCTCAAATGCATCTAAGGTTCATGCTTTGGGGTTGTGATGGTTAAAAGATAGGTGTTGGTAATGATGGGAAAAGTTTCTGATTGGAATTTCTCCACCACATTTCCAGTTGTAGCTCTTAGAATGTGAATCGCATGTAGGGAAAGTATTTTGTTTAAGATTTATTAGTATTAAACATCTTGGACAGGGTTTATGGCTTGTACAATTTGTAATTGATTTTCTTGTTTTTCTTTTTTGTTTGTTATCGACTTGGATTTGTCCTCCGCATATTGAATAATTGTTGTAAGCCATTGTGTCTGCTGCTTCTGTTGATGCAGAATGTTTTGAAATCTGGAGGAGGTAAACGTCGGGGGAAAACATCGTTTGTGGAGCACAGATCATTTCTGCATCTTTATCATAGTTTCCACCGTCTCTGGATTTTTCTTGTTATGATGTTTCAGGTGAAGAGAACATATTCATGTTTCTGTTTCAGTCCTGGATTGAGGAACCTGTTCTATTATTTGTTGTGCATTTTATGAATTCGCCTGATTGTATTTTTCTCCCTCTCCACCAAAATATCTCTTAACATTGAGCCTTCTTCTCTATGTTGGGTTTGGTATTTATTGTTCAATTCCATGTATGTGATTTCTTCTGATGTTGATGGAGCACGGGAGCGGCACAGTTTCTATAAAGTGGACCTCACATAATTGGAAGGCAGCTTAGTTATTGTTTGTCCTTTTTTTTTCAATAATTTTTTGGTGTGTTGCATGATTTACAAATGGCGTGTCTATTTTTCCTGTGTTGGTGGTTTTGTTTTGTTTGTAAAGATGGTCAAAAAAGAGTGAATAGTACAGGGTGTTTAAATGGCAAACTTGATTTAAGCTGTACATTTATGTTTGAAGTGGATGATCTTTGCTAAGTTCAAAAGCTAGATTTACATGTGGCTAAATAAAAAGTTCTTGTTATTGGTTGGATATTTTGATGGAGTGCCCTCTCCTTATTAATCTCCGGGTTTGGCTGTACATTTTATGTTACTGCTATTTGATTTGAACTCTGAGTGTCTTTCTCTTCCCATTGCTCTCTCCCCATGCAGGGTCTTGCTGTTATTGCGTTTAACAATGGGAGCTTTGACTCCAAGACCATACGGGAACTTCTCAGTCTGGGACCGACATATGTTGTGATGAAGTTTATTCAGAGTAAGTTTTTCTTCTCTTCTAAGTTTTGTGTTTGATAACTTTTAAGCCTTGGCTTGTTGTAAAGACTTTCTGTAAGAATAAGTGGGTTTCTGTGATGAGACACCTAGCAATATGTTTTGTTCTGGTACTGAATGTTTTTTAAATGTATTGCAGGTGTCCTGGACATTGTGATGATGTATGGTGCATATTCCACATCAAGGCGCTTAGCAGTGACACGGATTTTTCTTCGTTTTGTCTGCTTTAGTTTAGCTTCAGTCTTCATATGCTTTCTCTACATGTATGTTACTTTCTTATTGTTTTCTTTTCCAATTACCTCTTATAGTGCATTATGCTGTATCATGCTTATTCTCTGCATTCATTGGGAATTTTTGTGTTTCTATTGCAGCAAGGCTCTTCAGGATCCTGGGTCAATATTATTTAAAATTTATTATGTGGTTCTTGCAATTTATGCTGGACTCCATGTGTCTTTGAGTGTTGTCATGCGAATACCAGCCTGTCATAGTTTAGGCAATCTAGTTGACAACTGGCCGTTGGTCCGGTTCATAAAATGGATGCACCAGGTATGAGCGTTGGCAAATGTTCTTTTAATTTTCAGTTCTCTCTTATTAGGTTTTATAATCACTATTAATGTGCTCTCCAACAATTCTCTTAAGGAGCACTATTATGTTGGTCGCGGCATGTATGAGAAAACATCAGACTTTATTAAGTAAGTATTTCTATTTCAACAATTTGTTAATAATCGTTGCTAAAGATAGTTTGTGTTAAAAAAAAAAGAAAAAAAGAAAAAAAAAAGATAGTTTGTGTTTCCTTTTTCCTTTCTTTTGCTGTCTTTTATAGGAACATAAATCTTTTTCAAGACTAAGGCTTGACCTTGGTGCTTGTCCTACTCAATTGTGTTTAAGAATGTATGTCGATCCCCACTGTATTAAGATGGCCAGGATGGTTCAAATCTTAAAGTTTGACATGAATGCTAATTGTTTTTTCTTTTCATAAAATGGTCATCTATTACCCCCTTTTCCCATATAGCAGCTCATACTTTTTTCTCTGTGCTGAAAACTGGTGAACTTTCGAATTATTTTTCTTAATACCTTTATTATTACAATGATGTTCTTGTAATGAAATAAGTAGTTTATTATATGTACTGTATAGTGGAGTTCCTTAAAAGTAGTACATTTGCGAATGTTCTTTTTGTCCTTTGGTTATCGACTGGCTGTTTAATGAATGGTTCACCAAAAAATGTTAACCTATCGGATGTATTATGTTGTTTTTTAATTAAGTTGATTGCAGCAATTATATGACTTTTGAAAACATTCTTCCATGTTAATACTTGACATGTTCCTTCGTTTTGATGCATCCTTTAACTTACAAATAAGTCGAGTAATGTCTGTATTCTTAAGAATTCTTTAGCTTTTAGAGAATTTTCTTCTTTCTCATAATTTATTGGGGTTTTTTCTTGTGGCATATCTTGTTTATTTATAATTTTACACTTGTGCCTTTTGAATTTGAGTTTTTTTCCGTTGAGAATTCCCCGTTCCCTTTCGTGTGAATTCCCTAGTTAGAATTCTAAACTTGTGGGGCCCTATTTATTTCATCTCTCGATCCCCGAAGAACCACTCCCCCTCCCTTCGGACTCCATATTTCTTTTGACTCTATCTATGTGGGCACCTGAACTTATAGTGAAACAACATTTATACTTAGATGAAACATGAGCAAGTTTTGTAAATGTTGTGGTGAATTATTAGGTGAATTAATTTGACATATGCAATATTTCAGCCCTTGCACGTTAAAGTATTTGGCTTTAAAAGTTCAACTTGCTTGCATGTTGGTTGTGTTTGTGTGCAGGTTTCTTGATCCGCATTTTTTTATGCATTCATCCAGTGCCTCACAAATATGCTGATTGATAGAAAGTGTAGTTTTATTGTCCGTTTCCTTTTAGCTAGTTGACATGTAAATTTCAGGTACATGATGTTCTGGCTGCTCGTCCTGGGGTGCAAATTTTCTTTTGCTTATTTCATACAAGTAAGACCTATTCCTGCAGTTCTTTGATAATTTTTTTTTTGGGGTTTATTGGTTTTTTAATATTTGTATCATGTTGCAGATAAAGCCCTTAGTTAAACCTACAAGGCTTATAACAGAGATGAATATCACTTCCTATTCTTGGCATGACCTTGTGTCTCAGCGTAAGTGGCTAACTTTTTCTTACGACTTGTTAGTGTCATTTGTTCTCTGTGGAAGAATAATTTTACTTTTTAAGACTTTTAACTACACATCTAGTTCTACTTCTTCATCTACTTAGTGGGATAAAGGCTTAGTTGTTGTTGCTTTAACTTATAGCAAATAACTCCACAACTTATCCTATTGGTTTTGTCAATATTAGAGGCCAAAGTTGCTGTTTTAAGAACCTTTATTGATTCGATTTAGGTTTCTTTCCTATTCTCTTTTGTTTTTATCATGAAGACATCACAATCATCTGGGCGAAAAAAAGATATCTGCCGCAAAGTTTGGATTTTTGTTTGTGTTATAGATTATGTATCACTCTCTTAGTTTCATTATTCCTGATTTTAATTTAATTATGTCTTGCAGATAATCATAATGCTCTGACAGTGGCAAGCTTATGGGCACCCGTGTTTACCGTAAGTACTCTACATGCATTCTTTTCTCAGCTGGTGCTATAAATAACTTTGGATGATACAATATTGTAACTTTACCTGATTAGGTTATAGCATTCCTTTAAATCTATTGTAATTATTCTCATGTTGTCAATAGTTGGTGGCTTTACCATAGGTCTTGTGTTTTTGTGGTATTGTTGTGTAATACGTTTTATGCAATCAGATATAATGTCAGTTCTGAGCAAACATAGCAACAAATTTCTTCATTTCACCTGGCTTAAATAGAATAAGAACTCTTGACTGTCATTGTTTAATTTAAATTCTTAATGATTCATGGCTAATTTGTTTCTGGCCCTTTTTTCTCCATTGGTATTCTCCTCCCATATGCATTTTAAATTACCGTACGAGTTTCAGTACCATATTGAGTTACTGAATATTTTAGTTCCTCATCAGTATCTTGAGATATACTCTTTAGTAAACATGGGTCACTAATGTAGTAATCTTGTCACGCTATATATAGCCTTAGACTCTGAAGTATACTTGAGTAGTGGTGCTGAAAATTATAGATCTTATTCTACCTCTATAATTTTGCGATTATGACTGTTTGCCAGATAAGTATACTTCTGTGAATCATGAATTTAGTGAGATTACTTTTGGATTGTTCTAGATTGGTTTACTTCCGGCAAAATGAAGATGATGATAACATCAATGCCGATGACAAGAGGAAAACTAAGGAATGAAAATAGTCACCAAATTTGAATTGATATGATGAAAGGGAAAGATGCCTAATAGATTAGAGGCTGCCCAATGATTCTATTCCAGAAATGATTTTGACATGTTTTGTAGGGTTCATTTAATCTGTGCATTATTTCTGGAAGTTGTAAGGTTGAAAAATTCTTTGTTGGTGCTGCCTGGAATAGAGTTCTTTTTAAACGCAAACCGTTTCGAATGGAACCTCAATTGGTTCGTAATCACGAACCCGCATAGTTATGGTTTCTGGGCCTATTGGCAATTAACATCCTTCACTGCACCGAGGTGTAGTTTTGTGGATAAAATAGTTGGTTTTACATGTACACATTGTGATGATAAACCCAAGTGGGTGTCCCATTAGTTGACTGTGGCCTTCATATAGTTTGTGTGATTCCTTTCTCGATTGAGGCGCAACAGCCTTGCTGACCCCTAGAGATTTTGCATCATGGCTTTATCCGATTTGAAAGCATTTAAGCGTCCTCTATGCTTAGAGTAAAAGCATGCGACGTGAAGTCAAACTTACATGAACAAATGTGAAACTACTCAATTGCATCTCGTTTTAATGGAGTCCCTAACAACCCCCCCCCCCCCCCCCCACCCCCATTTACAAGCAGATTTTTGGATGTTTGCTAACACATAGATTAGGACAGCTCTTTATACTCTCATGGCTTGATGCTCATCTGGTGCGGTGTGCTCATGTCACGGAAGATGCAAGGGCAGTACTTTTTAGCCTCCAAGATACTGTGGTCATTTGATATGTTAGAATTGCCCTTAGAAGTTACCAAAATTCATATTAAAAGTATGTTCATAGTGTTAATTGTTAGAGAATTTGATGGATGCTCTTTTCTTTTACCTTACTGGGTCAGAGACCTTTGATGCACATGAATAATTCATTTTTTGGTGCATAACTGCAGTTGTGAAGCTTCTGGAATATGAATAGTTTTGATTGATTACAGCTTTGTGGTAATTGCAGATGTACCTCTTGGATATATACATATTCTACACAGTTATATCTGCTGTGCTAGGTTTCTTGCTTGGTGCAAGAGATCGCCTTGGGGAGGTAAGTGTGGACACATCTTAACTCAATGCTTTGGCTGAACATGTTGAGTTGTTATTTTATTTGTTGGAACGTGGTGGCAACAGTGATCCATATGGATGATACTTATAGTTGGGAATAATTGCTCAGATCTGGTTTTTGTTGTTGGATTAGATTTATTTGTAATATTTGAGCTTTTCATTAATGAGTTAAATACGTCATGATACTCTTTCAGATAAGATCTTTGGATGCTGTCCATAAACGTTTTGAAGGCTTCCCTTCGGCGTTCATGGATACACTTCATGTTCCTATTTCAAACAGGTATGGCTTGCCGTAATGAGTCGCATTAGAATCTTGTTTGCTGGTTTCTTTGGTGTAAACTTTCAGTTCTTATTTTGCAGGGCCTCTCTCCAATCATCTGGTCAGGTGAGCCTTTATGTAAATTAAATTCTATGTATGTAATTCCTCTGCCCCTTCTTTACTTTGGAGGTTTGATAAGTTGGACAAGTCTCAAATAACAAAGCATTTTCCAATAATAATTATTAACCTTAAAGTTTCGGCTTAAAATTTTTTCGGACAGGAGGTGGATTTTGGGAGAATGTTGCATGACTTCTAGCCCATTTCATTTATTTATTTTTTCATTCCTCAATTTTCTTTTGATACTTCACTTTTGTATTTTGTTTTGTTATGGCTATCTATTGCTTATTTGTTTGTGATGGCATAACCAATCACGAAATGTTGGACATGGCTATCTATTGCTTATATTGCTTATTTTCAAACTGGTTGGCTTCATGGAATGCTAGTGACGGCGTTGTATATTACGTTGCATAAGTTCACATTAACTTGAGGCTCGACACTTTTGTGTTTTTTTAACGAACGACTGTTTCTGGGATGTTGTTTCGTTGTAATAGTTTGAAAACCTTCCTTTTGAAAGAAGAGGGTGGAGTAATTGCTATGTTGTTTTGAAAGATTATGAAGGAAACTTACTAGCTGATGCCATAAAGCTTTTTGTATACTCTTGTTTTTGCGTTTCTAGTTGTGGATCATTCGTTCGTGTAAAATAGGACATTTCTTATTCTAGATCTTTTTTCTTTTATTATTCTTTTTCTTCTCATTCTATCCCTTGAACTTTTCCATATAGTAAAAAGTATTTTGGCAACAGATGGTAAAACCTGCTGATGTCACTTGCTTTTACCTTTTATTTTGTCATTTATGCAATTTAACTTCGCCTTATTTATATATATATATATATATATATTTTGGGGGGGGTTGCACTTCATTTATACGAAGGAGGTCTTCAGCGTTTCTATTTGCAAGAAATAAATCCATAACAACTGTTCCTGACTCAACCAAGCTCTAAGTGGATATGCTATAATCCTTTGAGTGCTTTTGCCCCTGATTTCAATTATCTTTTAACTACAGATAGCAGACTTTGTGGACATAATTGACTTTGTGGGGGTTTTTCTTTTTTGGGGGTGTTATTCTTATGATTTCAGATAACAGGTTGTTTTTTCTATGTGTCGAAGGGGGGGGGGGGAATGTAGTGGATAAATCATACCTCTTTGTGAATATAAAGGCGATGGCATTAACTATATCAATTTCGTAGGTTAACTACGGTCTAAGTTTCATGGTCTTGGAAATTCTATGAAACACAATGGATATTGTCTGACCTCTACGCTAGTTCCTAAATGCTTTAGGGCATTATTTGTTAAGAATCACTGTGTGCAAGGATCACTGTCGCAATCTTTATGTATATACTCTTTTGCAAACATGCTTAGCGCATGAGAAAAATTGTTTGTTGTCGTCATCTTTGTTTCAAGTCATTGTTTGCAAGTTCATTTTGTGTTTATGTGTGACGTGATTGTAAGTTTATATAACTTCGTGAAGTCGCATATATTCTCTTTGTAAAAATTATTTAGTTTTAAACAGGTATTTTGTGAAGTTAACACCAGGGTTTGCACTTTTTAAAATTCGCCGTTTTCAGTGTCTGCCGGGTTAGGACGTGCATCTGGAGCTTCTACTTTGCTGCAGATCGACTGCTAATAGATTTTGCTTCTTTTGTGGCATAATGTGTCTGCTATTGTAAAAAATATGTGTTTCTCCTTTTTTTCATCTAATATTGGAGCATGACATATCTGAAGTGTTGATATCATATGCAAATTTTAAGATATCTTGTGAATGTAATTCTTCTTAACTTGGCTCTAGAAATGTAAGCTAACTCTTTGCGTCATTTGAAGGCTGTGGAGAGAATTAAGGCAGACGCTGCTCATTTTGCTCCCTTCTGGAATGAAATTATCAAGAATCTTAGAGAGGAAGATTACATCACAAATCTGTGAGTCGATTGAATTTGTAGGAGATTCTGAATTTATCCATTTTGATCCCCGTATCTTTTAACTTGGCACTTTTAGTTCCCGAGTATAGAAATGCGTCAGATTTGATGCTTTTAGTGGAAATTTAAGCAAGATGATAGCATGATTTGATGCTGGGAGAATTTTCTCCTGTGTGTCTATCTTTTCTTGCAGACCATTTAGGGTTGTTGGCTTGATTCCATAAGAACCAAAAGCATTGTACTTATAAACTTACGGGAGTGGAGTTGTATGCATTGGGGACTGAAAGTGTTGACCCTTGCAGCATAGAGGACTGAGCGGGATTTCCCTTTGTTAGCTCTCTTTCCCTGTTTTCATTTGTTGAGTTGATGTTTTACGCCTTGCAGGGAAATGGAGTTGCTTCTGATGCCAAAGAATTCTGGGAATCTGTCAATGGTCCAGTGGCCCCTATTTCTCCTAGCCAGCAAGGTTTTCCTTGTTAATCTCTTTCATTTTGATCTCAGTTGGATGTTTTTGGTCTTGCTTATGAGTCTCTCTCTCTCTCTCTCTCTCTGTCTCTCTAGATATTCCTTGCCAAGGATATTGCAGTTGAAAGTAGGGATTCACAAGATGATTTATGGGATAGGATCTCAAAGGATGATTACATGAAGTATGCAGTTCAAGAGTGCTACCACACTATCAAGCTAATATTCACAGAAATATTGGACGACGAACAAAATGATGAAGGAAAGAAGTGGTAATATTTCGCTAAGCCTTCATAACATATGAAATTTGCTTGGGATTTTATCGCTGAAACTTGATTGTGGTTGTCTGGTTTCATCTTTTGTGAGACTACATGGTGATGGGAACTTGGGAAGTGAATGATCTAAAATTCTTGCCGATTGGGGTCTGTTCAATTTATCGATTAAGTCAGTCGAGAATAGATATAGGTTCACAGGTTAGGTCATACATCAGTACTATAGCTTACTTACATGATTGTTATTCAGAATCATCAAGTTCTTTAGCTATGTTATCTACAGAAATTGATGTCTAGTGCATTTTTACATTTAGAACAAATAACTGAACCATTTTAACCAGTCATTGACTGTTTGAGCGCCCCATCATTAGATCGATCATCGGATGCATTATGAAGTGCATGCAGGGCCCCTGCCCCCACAACCCCCAACCACCGCAACTAGTCACTTTTTTTCATGTTGCACAACTTTGATACTGAATTCGGAAAGTTGGTGTCAATGGCGAAGTTGCAATGGGACAAATTCTTATTTTCTTTATGCATTTCTTGTTGCTTGCCTTATATTGTCAGGGTTGAGAGGATATATGAAGACATTAATGGATGCATTGTTAAGAAGAGTATCCATATGGACTTACAACTGGACAAGCTATCACTTGTTATTCAGAAAGTTACTGCTCTTATGGGAATTCTGGTGAGTGAACGATGGTCAAAAGAGAATAATTAGCACTGTCTTAGGAAATAAAATGCTAAACCTTATGCACTTTGTACCCTGTTATTCCTTTCCATGGTTTGAAAAATCAGCACTCTCTAAGGCAACAAAGTGCTTAGTTTCTTTCAAAAGTTCTAACCCAAATCTAATGTCTATGTAGCTCATGGCTTTCTTGGACATTTTTCAATCTCAACTCATTGTTTAATAAATTTGTGTTTGTTGCATTGAATATGTGTCCACTATCCATTAAGGGTATTTTTATTTCTCTTTTTTTCTTCTTATTATTATATTTTGGGGCTACAATGAAGGAGGTGATAAAACGCCAGTATCTTTTATATCTTTGATTAATATTTTGTAAGCTTTATATAATAACTACTAATGTTTGTTTACCTGGACTTTTTGGTCATGGTTTATTGTTGATTTTTTCCCTCCCTTTAGAAAGAGGAGTATTCAGCAGAGCTTGAAAGTGGAGCTATAAAAGCAATTCAAGATCTTTATGATGTCATGCGGCTTGATGTGCTTAACATAAATTTGAGGTTTGTTTCATGTTTAGATTCACTTTGTCTTTTTAGAATGCTTTGAATATTCTGTGTCTCATGAATACTTTGTTCTCAGAGACAACTATGAAACATGGAATGTGTTGTCGAGAGCAAGGAATCAGGGTCGTCTCTTTCAGAAGCTGAAGTGGCCCCGAGATGCTGAGTTGGTAAGTGTCACAAACTGATGTATGCAACATTGAACTTGGACATTTTCCTCAAACATGGTTCAGATTTATGAGGCTTCTACCCCTCTGAAGTTAACAGAGTGGAGTGTGACTTTTTATATGTATGGCTTACAAGTCTTGATCATGTGCAGAAATGGCAAATTCGAAGGTTGTATTCCCTTCTAACTATCAAAGATTCTGCTGCAAGCATCCCGAAAAACCTCGAAGCAAGGCGCCGATTGGAGTTTTTTACAAATTCTCTCTTTATGGAAATGCCAACTGCTAAGCCCGTCCGTGAAATGTTATCCTTCAGGTATCATCATTAATGGGATTTCTTTTTTGTTTCTTGGTTAATTTTTGCATGTACTGATCAAATTCCCCATGCGACATCACATGCAGCGTTTTCACACCGTATTATTCCGAGATTGTGCTTTACAGCATGTCTGATCTTCTTGAGAAAAATGAAGATGGGATTTCAACATTGTTCTACCTTCAGAAGATATATCCTGGTATTTTCCAATTTATTCAACTTGCTTCAAATTTCTGTTGAACCATTTCTCTAAGTTATTGCCAGCAATGGGTTTTTGTTTTCAGTACTACTCACTGTTGGAATTTGTAGTTTGCAATTAAAGTTCGTAATTTGCAGCGGCTGTAATTCTTTCTGGCTCATTTTTATAAGCCAATTCTACTCTTTGTTTTATTTATCTTTTCCGCGCCCCCAACAGAGTTTGCCGCTGTATGAAGTCAGCTTACTTTTAATTTCCTTGATATTTCTCCCTAGAGTTGGGCTTTTGTAGTATATTTACGTCAATCTTATGCTCTCTGATCTTGGGTTATTATGTTTCAGTTGTTCTCTAAGGATATAAATATATATTCTAGATGTACTGACTCCAAGCCTTGAATGCAGATGAATGGAAAAACTTTCTTGCCAGGATTGGGCGTGACGAGAATACGTCTGAGGCAGAACTGAATGATAACCCAAATGATATCCTTGAACTTCGATTTTGGGCTTCTTACCGAGGACAGACATTGGCTAGAACTGGTACTTCTAGATCTATCTTTGGCCCTTATGGGTCATCCCAAATCTTCCTGGACGTTTTGGCTTGTATTTATTTTGTTGCAAGTTTCTGAAAAACTGTGTGAATGGGACTTGTGTGTCATATTGAAATGGAAATTTCACATGTGATTGACAAGATAGTTAATTGTTTTATTACGTCAGCTTTTAATTAACAAGTCGATGTGGTTGTATCCTTGTGGGTTGAAATGGATGCGCTTTATATGCAACAACAATAAGAAGAAGAAGCCTTTGTCCCACTATGGGGGTCGGCTATATGGATCATATGTCGCCATCATGCTCGATCGTAACATAAATCTTCTCTCAAATTTAAATATTTCAATTCATTTTGATAGTCTCTTTCCAAATTTTCTTAGGTCTACCTCTATCCCTCTTAATTTAATTCTTGATTCTATAGTTTCTACCCTCCAGACTGGGGCCTCCTAAATGGATGCGCTTTATAATGCTTAATCAAATGTCTGTTTAAGCCGGCATTTGGCTACTCAGAGACCTATGCAATGTGTTTGTACAGTGTGTTTGCAAAACGAGCCTTCATTAATTCCAATTGCATGTTTATACGTACAGTGTGTTTGTACTCATGAATTCATTTTGCAAATTTATTTTCCATGACAATTGTTGGCTTAATTTTTCTGTGTTACCCTTGCTTACTGTCATAACTTGTCGAATTGCAGTACGCGGCATGATGTATTATAGGAAAGCTCTCATCCTTCAAGCTTATTTAGAGCGAATGATCATTGGAGGTTTGTAAATTTACAATACATGTTTGTTTGTTTTTGTTTGTCTAGTGTATTAATTTGTTGGATGTGCTTAGGCATGGAATCTGCAATCTCAAGAAATGAAGTAACAGACGTTGACAATTTTGAGTTATCTCCTGAGGCAAGAGCTCAGGCTGATCTGAAATTTACGTATGTTGTTACGTGCCAAATTTATGGGAAGCAGAAAGAAGAACGGAAGCCGGAGGCTGCTGATATTGCCTTATTAATGCAAAGGTGGAGCGTTATGTTTCTAATGTGATGATGCATCAATTGGTTATCAAATTTAGGCGTTTGTTCCCTCCAGAAGTGACTTTGGGATATCATGCCCTAATAATTTCTTTTACTCTGGAACTGAAAGTTCTTTCATGAAATAGTAAGTGGAGAAGAGAATTAGGAGAAAATCTTAAACCACCAAACGATAAACTAAGTATTCACTATTATGCATTTAGACGTTTGCAAACTTCCTCCTAAGTTTCAGTCAAACTTTTTCTGTTTTCCTCACGCTCTGTCCCTGAATGATGCATTAATCTCTTATGCATTTCTGCTATTTTTGTTTCTATATCAATGCATGTTTTCTCCATATGGTTAACTGACAGAAATGAAGCTCTTCGGGTTGCTTTTATCGATGTGGTCGAGACTTTGAAGGATGGTAAAGTGCAGACAGAGTATTTCTCGAAACTTGTTAAGGCTGACATCAATGGGAAAGATAAGGTTAATAATTTCTCTTCCCTTTTGGAATGGCACTCCCATGCTACTTCTACGCCTTTGTTCCACTTACGTGGAATTGGCTATTTGGATCATGTGTTACCGCTGTGCTCTAAGTTATGGATAAAATGGTAGTTGAATATAGGTTAGAAATTTAAGTGATTGAAAAGTATATGCTTAATCTGCACATAGTTTTTGCTTCTGATTCACTAATGGTTACAATTTATTAGCAACAGGGGTCAGATCGTCTTGGTCTCTAGCTTATGTAATGTATATATTTGTATTTGGCTTCTCGGGTGTGTGCTGATTTTCAATTCATTTCCCATTTTTGTGCAATATATCCAGTCTCTTCTGAATACCCACTTTTTACATCTAAAAATGTTTCTTCTTGGTGTAGCTGATCATATTGCATTTAATCTACAATTTTTATTCGGAAGACAAAATTAACTTTGTATTCTGATTTTATTTCTCAAATACATACAGGAAATCTATTCAATAAAATTGCCGGGGAATCCTAAACTTGGCGAAGGGAAACCTGAAAATCAAAATCACGCTGTTGTCTTTACTCGTGGAAATGCTATGCAGACAATTGATATGAATCAGGTAATGAATGTTTTTTTTTGGATAATTTTGCTACCCTAGACCTCCAGTTTTACCTATTTTGATCTATATAGAGGCACAAGTCAGAGAGTATATAGGTCACAGGTAATGGCTAGGATCAGCTCATTGCTTTTATGTATTAACTTGTTAGAGATTACTATTATGTAAAGTGCACCTGCTCCATTTAGGGAGTTTTCAGTGCGTTGATGATGCTTCATTTTCTGTGTCTTGGATGATCATTTTTAATCAAAGAGATGAAGTTCTTGAGGAGTGAGTAGATGGACTTAATCTGTTTGACAGTTAAATCTGTTTAGGAAATGGTAAACTGGCGTGGAAGGTCAAATATTTAGGTCTTCACCCTAGGTGGATTTCTTATTAGCCATTTCTTGGAAATTCGCCTTACTGTGAACAACTTCTGATGGAGATGTGGAGCCCCAGTTGTAATGTTTAATTTTTCGCAACTAGTTATTTGTGATTTCCCTTCACCATCTCTTTCTTACTTGTCATCCTCTTCTTATTTCTTAGTCTCTTTTACTTATCTAGTTGTCATGACAGGATAATTACTTTGAGGAAGCTTTGAAAATGAGAAATCTTCTAGAAGAATTTCATCGTGATCATGGAATTCGTGCTTCAACCATCCTTGGGGTGCGGGAGCATGTATTTACGGGAAGGTAGTCACTGTTCGGTATTTGCATATCTTAGTTCTTCAATTTTAATGACAACACATGACCTGTTTTCTAAACGTGCAGTGTTTCTTCATTGGCATCTTTCATGTCTAATCAAGAAACCAGCTTTGTAACTCTTGGTCAGCGAGTTCTAGCAAAACCATTGAAGTAAGGTTTCCTTTATTGTTGGTTGTTGATTCAGCTTTCATGCTAACTCATGTATCCTTGTTGATCACTATGAATTGACTAAAATTTGTCTTGATCATTTCAGGGTTCGTATGCATTATGGCCATCCGGATGTTTTTGACAGAGTATTTCACATAACGCGAGGTGGTATAAGCAAAGCATCTCGTGTTATTAACATCAGCGAAGATATTTATGCAGGTATTTTGGCTAAGTTTGATAAGCGGCTGTCAGATAAACTAGTTTTTACCTGCATTTGGTATTTGTGAACTATTTTTATAGCAAAGAAGTCAGAGTTGGATCTTACCTGAAAATCTTCTCTTGGATGCCTTAATGTGTCCAACATATTGCCCTCATAATTCTCCATACTCAGGGTTTTAATTAGCACTAGATTTTTTGTTGTGTGTGGAGCAGAGAAGGTTTGAATTATGAGGCCTATGTATTATGCCTTATGATATAATCACTTAGACTTACAACAACCGAAACCACCCCCTCTCAATCGACACACACACACATTTGTACTTTTAATATTAATTCATTCTTGAGCCTGGTAATTCCAATTTCAAAGTTGGTTTCTTCTTTTCCCAAATCATCTTTCATCTAGTTGTTGGGACTTTTGGTTTGTCAAATTTCAGTAGACTGGATCTTTTAATGGTTTGTCAGAAATTTTTTGTAGCCATCTTAAAACACGGTTTCATAATTATTAAATCTTTTAATATGTTCTGTACTGATAAAACTGAGTCTCAGTAGATTTTGTTTCTGTGGATATTCTGCTTGATGACTGCCTTATCTGTTTATCTGTCAACTTTGTCCAAATTTGTGTATTACATATGCATTTCCCTTTGCACTTGTCGAGAGTCCGGAGATCGAGTGGATCCACGTTTCTTCTTGTGACTGCGCTCGGAGGACCTGACTCTTTCTGATGGTCTCTGGAAGCAACATACAATTGTTTTATCTTTTGTTTATGTCAAGTTGCCTTAGCAGCTTCGCCCTTTCGGGACTTGTTTTCTCTAGTTGATGATGTCCTCCTTTCTTGTTACCTTGGCAGGTCATCGATGATAGTGTACTGCATGTTAAGCAATGTTTAATCTCTCTTGTTTCTCCGATCAGCGTGATTTTATTTTTTAATCCTGATCTTTGTGAATTAACTCATTGATTGGACTGACTTCGAAAACTGGGTGATTGGTATCTGTCCAAATGAAAGAGTTTCACATCCTTCTAATGCCATTGCATTTTTGATAGCTATGTATACTTTCATGCCTAGAAAATTCTCTTTACAGGGGTTAGTTTGAAGCAATGAGATAAAATTTTTCTAATTGTCAACTTTTTTATGTGTATGAAATTTGCAGGGTTCAACTCAACTCTGCGTCAAGGAAATATTACACACCATGAGTACATACAGGTATAATCATGCTTCTTTAGGTAAACAGTGAAACGTAGAATGATTAGATCGTCTAAAGTGTGACATAATATAGGTTGGCAAGGGAAGAGATGTTGGCCTCAACCAGATTGCTATATTTGAGGGCAAGGTTGCTGGTGGTAATGGTGAACAAGTGCTTAGCAGGGATGTTTACAGACTTGGTCAACTCTTTGATTTCTTCAGAATGTTGTCATTCTTTTTCACAACCGTGGGTTACTATTTGTGTACCATGGTAAGTCATCCTGAACTGTTGAAACGTAGCGATATATTGCTGTTTCAAGTTTTGATACATATTCGAGTCATGGACATACAATAGGGATGTGGATCAGTCTCTAGTTTTACAGAGACAAAAGTCAGTGAAAGTTGGCATGAAGCAAATCACATACGCCTTTCAAACACTGCGAGATTAGTAACCAACCAAAACGTGGCATCTTCTGCAGTTTTTAATTCCTGTAGAAGTCAACTTGAAATGAGTGTTTGATTGCTTAATGTTCTAGATGAACACAATGATTGTAGATATGAGAAAAATAATTAAACTGGATTGGTATAACTGTAGAATACACTTCTTACATGTACCCATGATAATTTATGCCTTGCCCATTTTTGTATCCAAGGGCGCCAACTTATCTGTCATGAATCTTGTCTATGTGGTTTAAGTTTGCAAAACTTTATCTTATGTTAACCAGAGTTTGTTTTTCTTATCTAATTAATCATTAATCTTGCAGTTGACTGTACTGACTGTGTACATCTTTCTCTATGGAAGAGCGTACCTGGTAAGCATTCTGAGATTTGCTTCTACTTTTGCATCGTAATCTTCATTGGTATATGCGAAAGTAGGTTTTAATGTGCAAACATTTTTTCCCTATAGTGTATGTTTTCATATCTGTTTATGTCCGCTTCAGGAAAGATTTTTGGTTTTCTTTCTTATGTTGTGTTTTGATGTTCTTCTTGTCCTCCTGAAACTCCCTTTTCAGGCTTTATCAGGGGTTGGTGAAACTATTCAAGTGAGGGCAAGAATACTGGACAATACTGCCTTAAGTGCTGCCCTGAATGCTCAGTTTTTGTTTCAAATTGGTGTCTTCACGGCAGTACCAATGGTTTTGGGCTTCATCTTGGAACAAGGTTTCCTAAGGGTATGTTAATCAAGCTTTTGCAGCCTTATTGTACGTACATTTCCTTATATGGAGTAGTTATTTTGGGATTACCGGGATGTATATCTCTGGTCCTATGGATTTCAGTAAAGATCTCCAATCCAAAGAAAGTGGTGTGAAAAGCTTTTGAATCCCTTGCATGTGCCACCTTTAGGAAGCTGTTTCGTATCCAGGTTGAAAATTACAATGATGATGCTACTTGTAGGTATTAAAAACTTGAGTGCTTTTCATATGCATATATTATAATTGGTCTGAACAGTCTTGTTAATACAACATAGAACTAAGAGTGTTGTGGATCCCGAGAATGCATTTGTAGATGAAAAAATGGTGACTGCTGAATAGCTTTATGCATCAGTCTTGTTAATATATAATAATTGGCCTGAACAGTCTTGTTACAACATAGAACTAAGAGTGTTGTGGATCCCGAGAATGCATTTGTAGATGAAAAAATGGTGACTGCTGAATAGCTTTATGCGTCAACTATACAATTTGATCATATTCTCATTTGTATATGCATTTTCTCCACCTTCCATTGTATTTTTGCGGTATAATTTGAGATGGCAATGAATGTTGTATTTAAGTCAGTGGCTCAGCCTTCAAAAAAAAAAAAAAAAAAGTCAGTGGCTCTACCTTTTTGGCTGCGATGTCATCATTAAAGTCTTTTCCATTTCCTTTTTCTTTATGTTATTCATCACCATATTACATCTTTACCTTAAGTGACCCTGTAAAACTCTTTAAACTAAAAGTCAAGCTCTTCATAGAAGGCTTATCCATGAAGGACAATTAGAAAATTATAATACACATATACACACTCAACTCAAGTCTATGTTTATGTTTTATGTGTGTGTTTGAACACACTTGCACACAACCTTTATATGTGGAGAGAAGTGTTTATTTGTTTTGAGCATAATATAGTGTTCTATCCAGCATCCAATGAAAGAATTCCACCATGGAAACTAAGCCGTATACATACAAGCATACCTTCAGCCACCAGTTCAACCTCCACCTCTGGTGGTTGCTGTCGCTGCTAGATTGCTGCTGCTGGGCTGCCAGCCGACCTGATTCCAGTCAAGTTGTAAGAGTTCGGGTGGGTGTTAGTGGGGTGGCATGGTTGATTGGGATGTTCTCTACACAATAGGTGTATAAGGTTCTGGTTACTTGGGAAGGTGTATAGCAATATTTATAAAAGGATTTGAAGATGCCGTCTGATATGGGCTTTATAAGCTGAGCCAGCAGTTTGATCACATAATTGGGATTTTGTTGGTGAAAGTGGTACTTGAATATCTTGGAAAACCAATTTTTTTCGGCGGTGGTGCTGTTGTTTCTTTTCTTTATCCTATTTGCTCTTGTCGTACTATTGAATGTGTTAAACAAAAGCAGGAAGAGTGTTTTGTGTTGTTTGATAGATGCTTTCCTTCATTTTTTGTTGTGCTTAAAGTGAGCCCTGCTTTTGGTGCATTTAGGTTTTTATTGATCTGCCAACTTCATTTTTCGAAATAATCTTTTCCTTTTTTGATTCACTAACTGTATCCCAACCAGCTGGAGGACTTTTTTCTTTTATTTAGTTATTTTTTTTATTAAGTTAATAAGCTCATTTATGAGTCTTCTTCATTTCTTTATTTATTTACAGGCTCTTGTAAGTTTCGTCACCATGCAATTCCAGCTCTGTACAGTCTTCTTTACATTCTCGCTAGGCACAAGAACTCATTACTTTGGTCGAACTATTCTCCACGGCGGTGCTAGCGTAAGTTTCTTGTGACTTTAATTTTTACCTGATATCATCTATGGTTGGATTTTCTATGAGCTGATATCTGATGAAAATTTGTCCACAGTATCAAGCAACTGGTAGGGGGTTCGTGGTGCGGCACATCAAGTTCTCAGAAAATTACAGGCTTTATTCCCGTAGCCACTTTGTCAAAGGGTTTCTATCTTTCTTTGACACTCTCCCATTTCTCCCTTTTCCCATTTTGTTGATGTATCCATTTGTTGACTGATTGATCAATTTATGTAGCACTAACCAAACATTCTCCTTCTGTTTTGATCTTTTAAATTTCAGAATGGAAGTGGTGCTTTTGTTGGTGGTGTATCTTGCATATGGCTATAATGAAGGGGGCGCTATTGGATACGTTCTTCTTACTGTTAGCAGCTGGTTCCTGGCTATCTCATGGCTTTTTGCTCCATATTTATTTAACCCATCTGGATTTGAGTGGCAGAAGTAAGTTGTCCTCACTGAGTTCCACTCTTTGTGTTTTCTCCTCTTTGAAACTTAACACGTCATCATCTTCTAGGACTGTGGAGGACTTTCGTGATTGGACAAACTGGCTTCTTTACAGAGGCGGAATTGGGGTTAAAGGAAAAGAAAGTTGGGAAGCCTGGTGGGATGAGGAGCTGGTATGATGTTTTCTCCTGTATACTTAGGGTGGATCACATTAGTAGTTATTCTCGGTCATTATTGTTAGTGTTCTGTCATTTGTGGGCTTTCTGTATGGATATCTTGTCAATTGGTTATGTACCAGTGGCGTAGTGGGTATATTTATTTCAACTTCTGTATATGTTATTGCCGTCTTTGTCAAACTTCTTCTGTATATGTATCATCATCATTACTTTATTAACTGATCTGTGCGTTATGAATATGGTATGTTCTGTAGTTAGGAGCTGAATGCATAAGAGTTTCTGATAGACATATGTCTCTATAGGGGAGTTTATTTGATGTGTCCAAATCGAGAAAGTTCTTTATTGTTGTTAATCTCTTCAGTGTAAATTTCTTATATGGGTTTTGAAAAGTTGATAACTATGCAAACTTACAATACCTCAAGTAATGCTTTGCACTTTTGCTTAATCAGTGATACCGGACTTCCAATGATTGCCCATCTTTTATTGGTGTTTCCTGCAATTTGATACAGACGATTTCTGCTTCTTGCAGGCTCATATCCGGACTTTGAGGGGTAGGGTACTTGAGACCATTCTTAGCTTGCGATTCTTCATATTCCAGTATGGTATAGTTTACAAGCTGAATATACAAGGTTCAAATACGTCATTGTCGGTAAGTTGGATTAAGATTGATTCCCTCTGAATTTAACTGTGCTTTGATTCTCTGTGAGATTCTGTTTGTGGGCAACTGGTAGATTTATTTTGAGTTCTTTAAAGTTTAAACCATGACTTAAGACTGCCCATGTGATGACGAATTTTGTCATTTGGACTTCATTGCTCTCCACCATGATGTTTCAATTAAGGAATAGTTGCAACTCTGCACATTTTTATAGCAGCAGGTTATAAATTGGACTTTGTAAAATTCAGTAGCATTATGGTCACGTCATCTGCATGCAGAGAATTGAAGCAAGCTTTTTATTGATCTTGGCACATGTGCCTCATGTGAATTTTGACGATCCTATCTTTCTAGATTCAATTTAAACTGTAGCATTTGCCATTTTGTTTTTTATTTTCCTTTGTCTGGTATTTCACCTCGTTTTCAGCTCCTCAATATGATCTATAACCTAACAGTTTTTACCTACCTCCTCACTGTGTGTACCATTCTAAAGTACCAAGTTTTAGAGACCAAAACCGGCTCTCTCGCACAGTCCAGGGATAACTGCTTTCATCTTGCAGAAAGGGATAGCTGCTTTCATCTTGCAGAAAGTGATCTAGATAAATCATTTACACCATTAATTCTTATTTTGATTGGCTTTTGCAATTAAATAACTGTTTTATCAATACATGAATACCTCTGCAATGATGAAAGTCTCAGGCCATTGGCAGCTCATGATCCCCCATCTTTGCATTTTCTCCTCTGCCACAACCCCATTTTCTTTTGGTCTCTTTAGTCAATATGTTTCATGTCATGGGTCTGTATTCCTTAAACATTTTTGTTTTGGGTTGAAACTGAGGAGAAAAGATTAGGGCCAGACGCCATTCAATGTGCATCACTAGCTTCTTAGACAACTTTTCTTTTGATTTGGATGAAGTATTCAAACTTTTTTATGGCACGGAGAGTGTATATTTCTTTGTGCTTGAAGTTATTTTTCTTATCATAGCGTTCTTGTCTGTACCTAGTTATATTCTTGACTTTTCTTGCTTCAGGCTTTCTGGGTATGCCTTTTGTCTCCAGACTCTTAAGCATTCTATTAGTTGCCTCTGCATTTTACATGTCAGAAACAGCACACGCAAGATTATCTTTAGGCTGCAATGACTTCTATTATTTGAGTTGCACTATGCTATTTTATATAATTAAGTGACATCGCGGTTATAAATCGGTATGAACTCTAGGGAGCCTGCCGCTGGTAAATTTAATGGCTCTGAATTCCATTGTCTCAATCATTAGTCATCTATAACTTGTGAGAGAGAACCAAAAAAAAAAAAAACAAAAACCTTATGAATTACAAACTATCATCTGCATTTTATCCTAATAATAATTCTTGGTGTTCTTGCTTGTTGCCAATTCTCAAAAATATTGTTCCATCCGATGCATTTCTTATTAATTTCCTCTAATGTGGGATTCTCAACCTGTAGGTCTATGGCTTTTCATGGGCAGTGTTCGCAGTACTACTACTTCTTTTCAAGGTATATCCACTTGGCCTGATTTGCCTACGTGTTAAGAATGTGAGGGATAGAAGGCTTATGGGAACCGTGTTAATTTTCTGTATTATGCAGGTTTTCACATTCAGCCAGAAGATATCGGTTAATTTTCAGCTGCTGTTGCGATTCGTCCAAGGTGTTTCCTTTCTGCTTGCTCTGGCCGGTTTAGCTGTTGCAGTTGTGTTTACAGAGCTGTCTGTGCCGGATATATTTGCATGCATCTTAGCTTTTCTACCCACTGGATGGGGAATTCTCTCTGTAAGTCTTCTCTAACACATCCCTCTCCCTACTATTATCTTCCTTATTGCACCTTGGAGTCTATTGGTTTTTTTATGCACAAGTACTTAGAGACTTCACAGAGCGTAGCTGATAGACATCAAGTGGTTGTCATTGTAGCTTGTTTGTACCCGCATTCTTTCAGATAAATATGGAGAGAATGGATAATCTAATTTTGAATATGAAAAGCCATTTAAGCATGACAAATGCATTATGGGAACTTTTATACAGTATGTTTGTTTACCTTTCAATTTCTATTTCTTTGTAACTTTGAGAGCACTTTCTGGCTAAATTGAAAGACTTGCACAATGTTGTCATGTGAGAAACGAGGAGCAAACACTTAATGCCACTATAAGCTTTCTGAACGGAAATATGAGGTTCAGCATCATTTTTCCTTGATTTGCTTCTGTCTTCCTTTTGTGAACGCTGCAGGGAGACTATGCTCCTCATGGCCTGCATTTGCTATTTCTATTTCTATTTCTTTATATGCTTTCCCCCATATGAGGGTAATATGCTGAAACCATCACCCTAAAGATTCAGTCAAATCTTTTCATGCCAACGCATTATCATCTCACCCTTCCTTATAGTTTTATGTTTCCACAGTGAGAAAATTCAACGTACCCTATAGATAACTAAAAAGGAACAAAAATTTATATTGCTCAGTTATAGTCCTTCAACCCAATGGATGCTTTATGTGTTTTCCCAGGCTCTGTGAGGAATGAGGTGCATTTAGTTACCTTTGTAAGTTGTTTGGTAGACTCCCCCTCCGTGCTGCATTGACAATTAGAATTATTTGTGAATACTTTCTGTAAAACTTGCAATGGTAATATATTACTTGATGGGGAGATCATCCATGCTTGGTCATGTTATGATCCACCACCGGCACTGTCATAACTGGACAGAAATGAGCTATTGCGTTAATCCTCTACAATTGACAAGATGAGAAGTAGATATGGATTATTCTGTACTTGCGTATTTCAGACTCTTGATTAGACATCTGTGTGTGAGACAAAAAAGGAAAAAAAAAAAGAAAAGAAAAAGAAAAAACATAGTGTCAGATTTCATTGTATACTTGAGGAATGATTATTTGAAGTTGGAACAAATATTGAATTCTTCCATGATGTTCCCCAGATTGCAATAGCTTGGAAACCTCTGGTAAAGAAGATGGGATTGTGGAAGTCTGTTCGATCAATTGCTCGGTTGTATGATGCTGGGATGGGAATGATCATCTTCATTCCAATCGCGCTCTTCTCATGGTTCCCATTTGTTTCGACTTTCCAAACTCGGTTGATGTTCAACCAAGCCTTCAGTAGAGGTCTCGAGATATCCCTCATCCTTGCTGGAAACAATCCAAACTCGGGCCTGTGAGACAATTGACTTATCCCTGTATATAGTGCGTCGTTGTTGTTTCCGAATTCTTGTGGGCAATTTTTGTTCTTGAAGCCGGAGGTTCTTGTATTGTAAGTTGTAAATTAAGTTGGAAAAACTATCGACTGATGATTGTAATTTAGATTCGTTTTTTCTTTTCAAAGAGTCCCGTCTCATTTTTGCACGTTAAAGCAAGCAGCACATTCTGTTCTAACATTAGTCTATTTTCACGGTCATTTTGACCTCAAAATCAAATACAGACCTCTTCTTTGAATCTTTGCCCATGAGTAGTCTTACAGTTACGTTGCTTCTGATTTCTTGTGTTAAAGACTTGAGTAGTTGTAAATCCAATGGAATAATATTTCGCGATTTCTAATAAATTTTTTAATTTTGAGATGTCTCAATTTAAATTACGGCAAAGACTTACAATTCAGTAAGTGGAAATACGTGGATTATTTACTAGTATTACTTTTGGTTCATGATAACAATAACAATAATAATAGAAGTAGTAGTAATAATAATAATAATAATAGTGATCCAAGCTTAAACTTCTTTTATGAATTAGTTTAACATTGCTAATCACTAGTCTTCAATTTTTTTTATTTTAAATCTAGGAATATAATTAACCAATTTCAATAGGAATCAAACTTTATATTTCAGGTTTATTTATGACTTACATTATTCAGATTAAAAAAATACTCTAATAATAAGTAATTTATTAATAAATATCAGTAAGCTATATGTCTTTAATTTCCAGGTAATTTTAATTTATTAGAAGTTTTTTACTTATTTTAATATATATATATATATTTTATTTTTTTTTGTAAAACAAACAAACAAAAGAAGGGGGAAAAAGAAAAAAAAAGGAAAAGAAAGAGATGGTGTTTCCGTAATTTCGTTCAAACCCCAGGGGCGGTATTTCGAATCCAACACCTAATCCGGTTCCACCCGTAACCATGCTTGCTATCCACGCGTTCTTTAAATCCTAGCCGTCCACTCCTATCTTTATATCACAGCCGTCACATCTTTCCTTCCGCGGCTATATATATAACCCGTACCGCCCCTTCGCCACCACACAAACCGCTTTCTCCAGATCAAAAATTATTTTCAACTCTCTCTAAATTGGAACTAAGTCAAAATTAACGATCCAACGGCCGGAATATTCTAGAAAAAATAATTTTGAATTCAACGAGTCTTTTGTTAAGATTTTTGAATCGCCGGGAGAGAAACCTCGATCGAATTTGAAATTGTTCTTTGCTTGTGTTTTTGTTTTTCTTTAATCGGATTTTTCTTTTCGCTTTTGGATTTTCTTTTACGTTTCCCGGTCATCGCAAGAAATCGTGTTGAATCAATCCTCAATCACTATCAATTATTATTTTGCAAATTCGAGTTTGCGGTTTTTTTCTTTTACCTGATCTAATTTGAACGAATCGATTTGGTTTGTTTGGTTGGTTGATTGTGATCTTGTAATGAACGAACAACCTTCAATGATGAATCAACAGATGATGAATCCGGCACCGCCGGCGGGGATGATGAGTACCATGAGCCAACAACCGCCGCCTCAATTGATGAATCCACAACAATCGCAGCCTCAGCCGCCGCCGCCTCAGGTAATTGTGAATCATCACCATCTACTATCTCATAGACATGGTCAGCGAGTGTCGTTTTTTCCATCTCCGATGAGCTATAATAGTAGAATGAAGGTACAAAAACCCTTTCATTCTTTGAACATGACTAACAGTTGCAGTAATTCGTGCAGATGCTCATGAATCCTCCACCGCAGATGATGAATCGAGGATATGGAGTCTGGGGGCATCCTCCGCCATCGCAACCGATGGATCTCCAGCTGAAATATCAAAACCCTAACCCGAAAACTCAAGGCCCGGGAGGTTTTGGTAAGATGCCGTCTAAGCATCAGTTGGGCCCGAGGAACAATTGGAAGGGCAAGAAGGTGAATAAGGTCGACAAGAGAAAGGACTTAGGGAGGAGGGTGGAAATCCCTATCTCCATGGCTGGTGGGAGCAGTGGGACTATGGGGATTGCCGGGAATAATGTTGGTGCTGGGTTTAACCTGCCAACTATGGGAATCCCTGGGAGTGGGGTGGGTGGTACTGGTGGTGGGTTTAACCCCCCAAGTTTAAAGGATTTGCAGTATCAGAATAGAGTTAAGACCAGGAGGTATTTTCCAAAGAATTATTACAATAATAACAACAACAATAACAAGAAGAATAACATGGGAAAATTTGCGCCCAGAAATACTTCTTCGTTCATAATTCGAGCAAAGAAGAGTGGTGGGATTGCAGACCTGGTGTCCCCTTGCCCTGTTACCCCTTCCGTTTTGCCTACACCAGTATTTTCACCTTCCAGGGAGGTTTTGGTTGACATGGCTAAGGAGGAGTGGGGTGTTGATGGCTATGGATCTATGAAAGGATTGATTAGGCTGAGGTCTTCAGGTGGTGATGGACATGATGATGACGATGAAGACGAAGGAGGGTCCAGTGGAAGTGATGTGGAGGAGCATGTAGAGGTAGAGAGGAGGCTCGATCACGATTTGAGCCGGTTTGAGATGGTTTATCCAAATTATGGAACTGCTGGTGGGATGGACTATAGCAATGTGTTGGAGAATAGAGTGGACGATCAGGATAGCCATATTGCTCAGCTGGAAGAAGAGAACTTGATTTTGAAGGAGAGGCTGTTCCTCATGGAGAGGGAGTTGGGGGATTTGAGGAGGAGGTTGCAGTCTTTGGAGAGGCAAAATCATGATGGTGATTATGGTAATGAGGAGGTGGTTGAAAATGTATCTGAGAATGAGAGTGAAAGCCGTGGTGGTTCACATTCAATGGAAGATAACAATGAGGGATTGGGTGAAGACAACGATGATACCAATTTGGAATTTCAAGGTAAGGAGGATAATTCAAACCAGGGTGCAACAGAATTTGAGGGGAGAAATGCTGAATATAGCGATCATAAAGAGGAGCAATTTTCAAGCCATGATGTGATAAAATTTGAGGGGAACAATGCCGAATATAGGGATCACAAAGGGGAGCAAGATGAAATGAAGGATAGTGTTTTGGAATCAAACGAACAGAGTTCTGAAGATGGTAAGAGAAATGGTGAAGTACCTGTAGATACTGTTGTAGGTGAAGTTCCTGAAGAAACTAAAGATGAAAATGTACAGAACAAAGAAGATGGTAAGGATAACAATAACAATGCTCAAGGTTTAGGAGAAACTGATACAGCTGAAGACATTTGTATGCATGAGGTTGCACACTGAAGATTCTTAGAAGAGCATTGGCGATGGTGACTTGACTTGTCCCTCGTTATGTAAGTCTCCTCTTGGTTTACTTCTTTGCTCTGTTGCTTGGCGGATGGTGAGCTGCTCGAAGAAGCTGGTTGTAAATAATATGATGACTGTTTTTTTAATCAGATTGGCCTGTAATGCAAATTCGGGGTGGCTTTAATATGCTCTGTGCTTTGTGGTAGTTTCACACTTACACTGCACAAGTCTAGTTGTCTCCTTGGCATCTTTTTTGTGATTCCCTTTCTCCCCCTCCCTCTTAAAACATGGTTTAGGTCGAGCTCTGTTTCTTTGATTTGGCAGATGTCGTTTGGTTAATCTGGAACATAAATTTGTAATATTCCCTTTCCAGATCAAAATGGATTTTGTATTGAACTATCTCCATTCTTTTCAATAGACTTGTGTTTGATGTTTTAATCAATCAAATGTTATTGTACTATTAATTTCGGATGCCCACTGTATGATTTGTTTGTGGGGGCTCTGTGCCTGGATTTTGTTGTTCATGTTATACATAGCAGCTTGTAATGGGGATGTGTACTTCTATTCAGATTTTGATATGATTTTATAAGGATTGTATATTTGGATGCAGTCATGTTATATCTTTGATTATGGAACTGCTCTTGATTTAAGTTTGAAATGTTAATCTAAGTATTGCTGAGACCAGCAGAAAAGATTCCCCATCTCTGTTTGGCCAAGTAAATTGCTAACAGGAACTTTGTCTTTCTGTACGAGATGACGATACACATGATTCTTGAAGAGGAAGTTAGAGAAAGTGAAAAGCTTCTTCTAAATTCTTCTATGAGATGGCGCCGAGTGCAACGCCGAGCTACAGTGACTCTGAAACACACACACTGTCTCTGCTTCCAGTTTGTGTTTGTTCAGAGAGCCTTGCTCTTCCTTCCCACATAACCCTGGGATGATAGGTGAGTTGCTTCTGCAGCTTTCTTCAATGAAGAAAAGGTTATTTGTTGCAGGTTGATGTGTAATATATTTTTTGTTTTGTGTAGATGTATGTTGTAATTTGTGTTTTGATACATCTCATTTCTCGTCTATGGTCCGCTCCTTTTGAAGGATGATAGAATTGTAGTGTTTTTTTTTTTTTTAATAAAATAATAATTAATGTACCTATACTATTATATCTCATTCTATTGTACTAGTTGTTAAAACAATCTTGGATGTCCCCGTCTGTCTTGTTTTACTTTTGAGAAACAAGACTAATACAGTATGGAGGAGCACCTTCCTGAAACGGAAGCGCTATGCGTCTCCGACGACCTGGATGAAGGGGGAGGAAACTCCTATTACTACTGCGTAATCCGCAAAATCACATCTTTAACGGTGAAAACTTTCCTGAGATGGATTTGTCAGAAGGATTTCCATAGTGGGAAAGGGAGTTTATTGTTGTTAAGGGGAATTTGTGTTGCCTGAAGCCATTGAAAATAGACGAAAGTTGAAGAAAGCTGGGGTAATTTTGGACCATGATTAAAATGAGAGCAGATCGTCCGTCAAGCCTTACTCTGCTAGTGTTTCCCGGCGGTGACTCCTTGGTCACCGTTTTCCCAACAAGTTTGTTTCACCAATCATCAAGCATAAATACATCTCTAACAAATTATCACCTTGATTTTTAACTCTAAATCGGACAGAAACGATGAAGATAAGACTGAGATTTCAAACGATATTTTATTCAGATTTTTTTTAAATAAAAAAGTAAAGGGAATTTTTCCTGGGGGAGAAAATGGAGGCCAAAAGTTTGGGGAAGTCGGTCATTCTTCCACGATATAAATATGAGCCTGCCGCGCGCCAACTGAAACTCTGAAGAGTTAATCGTAGCAACAAAAATTCGCTGAAATCTGCGAAGAAGGTAAAACAACTCTCTGGCGGCCGCTCTCTTTTCTTGATTGAATTTAGGGCTTCCTCTTAGATCCATATTATTATTTTGGTGTTCGATTTTCTTCTTTCATCAGTGTGTTTTAGTCGAACACAATTACGGCGTTTATATGAATTGGATCGACCAACTTTGTTTCAACTTCGGCTGATTTTGTGTTTGTTTGTTTGTTTCTTTTTTTTTTTTTTTTTGGCTCTTTTAGATCTAAAGTGTGAACGATTTCGTCTGCCGTGGACTCCCTGAATCTTTTCAAAGGTAACAAACCTCTGTCGATTTTGGCTCTTGACCTAATTTTAGACGAAACCTTACCAATTATAAACGACCTTGTTCTAATATCGGTTTGGTTTTTTTTTTTTTTTTTTTTTCTTTGTTTGTTTTGCTTGGATTTCAGGAAACAAAGATGAAAACCTCCTCCCGTGCGAAGAAGAAATCCTCCACTAAGGTCATATCTTTGTCCCTTCAAAATCCTCTTTCCTTGTGTTGGGATTAGGGTTGATTTGATGTTCTATTTCCTTTGTTCATTTCGGTTTGGTGATCTTTTTTTTTTTTTTTTCTCTTTTAGCTTGGATCTATGAAATGCAAGAGACGACCTCCCCTTATCCTCCACCGAGATGGTAATATTTTTGTCCCTTCAAATCTCTTTCCATGTTGGGATAAGGGTTGATTTCATTTTTCTGTTTCCTTGTTGAATGTCCATTTATTTTATGCAGGAATGTCACCCTTTAGTTTACTTTTGTTTGAATCTTTCTTGCCTTTTCATTTTAGTTCTCCTCCATAGTTATGATCAAATCTTATTTGCTTTAGCCAGAACCCCGCATTAATTTAATTTTGTTGGTATTGCCTGTATTGAAGGCTAAGCTTGACTCCATAGCTTCTGAAGTAGACAAGGAATGGGATGAGGGTAAACTCCCAATGCCAAAGGTTGTTAAACGTCTAACAACTTACCAAATTTATCTAAAGAAGGATGGTGTAAGTTCTCACCTTTTATCAAGATTTGATCTGTAAGCTTTATTTTTTGAATCAATGATTATTTTCTTTGTTTCTGGTAGTCTTTTCCAGAGTGGGAACCCGAATTCGAGAAGGGAACCACTGTTGTGGGTCTTGTTTACGAAGAAGGAATTATTGTTGCTGCTGATCGTTCAGGCAAATGTGAGTTTGTTTTACTAGTTGGGAGGTTCACATGTGAGTTTGTTTCTGCCATTTATATGTCAAGTACTAACTTTCCCCGTCAAATTTAGCATTAGAGTTCCCGCCAAACTTCGTTCAACTGAATTCTCACATGCTGGCCACAATTTCCGGTGGCAGTGGAAGCGAGTCTTTGCTCAAAGATCTGCAGAAGAAGGTACTTGCTTTAAGAGCCTTGTTTTGCCTTGTAGTATTTATGGTGCCAACTAAGAAAGGCAACTTAACACTTTGTCTAAAAAAATTAAGAAGTGAGAACTAAGAAAGGATTGGTCTGTATGTGTCACAGTGCAACATACAAGAACAGATGAAGGGGAGGAAACCTTCGGTTGCAGAGGTATTGCACTGGCTGGCTGAGGCTCTTTCAGCTTACAAAGAGGAAGTAGGGATACTGATTGCCGTGTGGAGTGAATCGGTACTTCTTCTCTCTTTCATTTTAACTTAGTTGTGCAGAACCTTTCATATCCTAATCTCTAACTGTGTGCAGGAGCATGGCCTATATCGCATGAATGGTAATGGGGAACTTGTTGAAGGTAATGTGCTTGCAACTGGATCTGGCTCAAGTGGAGCTCTGTATGAAGTTAGATGGTATGCTCCCTTTTCTATATGGGTTCCTATCGAGTAATTCATTTAAATTGTATTGGGAGTTTAACTAACTAGTTTCTGGTTTTCATGTAGCTGCGAAAGATTTGTGCCGGTCACTCGAGCTGCCAATGTTGGTAGAGTTAGCCTTCGGTCTGAGTATGCTCCTTAATCCTATGCCCATATTTAACTGCTTATATTGTGTTGGGTGCTATTTTCCCTGTCGAAGTTTTGAAAACAAACTAATTTGTGTCTTTTTAGTACAAGATGCAAGTGCCGCATGTCCAAAACTGAAGTTGCAGACTTGGCCAAAAGGGCTATATGCATGGGTGCATATAATGCTCCCCATTATGGGGATGTTGTTAGTGATATGTTTTCGACCTCCTGGCTGCTGTCTTTGTTGCCTGTCTGTCACTTCCTTATATTCTTTTCTTATGTTTGCTTCTTCTCTGTTTTTAAGTTTACAACCTAGGAAGTGAGGGGTGCAAACAGCTTTTTGAGGAAGAAATGGAAGAATGGCAAAAGAACATCCACATCCCAAGGATGAGGTACCAGGTTATTGGAAAAGGATGGTGATGCAGTAGCTTGCCATCTTTTAGGTTTGATGTTTTTTTGGCGAAACCAAAATGTTGCAAGAGAGTTTGATGTAATAATCTGTACTGCTGTCTTTTCAATATACTTTAATTTATGAATTTGATTATATTATGCGTCCTGTTTTTGTTATTGGATTAAATAGGCTACTACTGTTAAAAGAATTCACACCTTGGGACTTCTTGAAAAATGGCATTGAAAACCTTTTTAAGTGTTGCTCGATGGAGCCCCTTAGTCTGAAATCCCACTTATGTATTAAATTGTGGCCGCTAATGAATCGGCCTTCGAACCAACGAAAGATTAACAATAATCTGAAACTTTCTCTATGAACTGAAAGGTCAGAAGACCAAAATACAAGGGTGTTTTAAGGTCAGAGCTAAGGGTGTTGTAATTCCAGACTCAATTCACCCAGTTAAATAGTCAATAATTTAGAAGGTTAGAGGAAAGTAAACGCCAACTTGCCCAACCAACAGTTTTCATTCATCAATAACCTATCTCTAGCCCTTGGTTTTTGCTGCTTCCCAACAGCTCCCCTCTGTTGGGGAATTACAGGAGGCGCCCTCACTGGAGATGTACTAGTAATGGAAAAAAGAGAATAATTTTCAAGTAATGAATAGAAGATGTAATGCGATTAATTTCCCACATCGCGAAAATTTCAAGAGTCAAACGAAGTAAACAAATCTTGTTTCTTGATAAGAAACAACCAATCAAGTATTCGATGTAGTATAACAGGTCTTGCTTAATTATGGCATACTACGCAATTTCCAATTCTTCCATCTACCTACCTAAGATATGTGCATTTCGTCAATTACAACAATGATGATCATAACCGCGATCAAGAAGATGATCAGAACGTAATTTCATCCGCGCGATCTTACTTAGACTACGGATCCATATTTACCATGTTTACCATCTTCAGCTTTATGTTCACTTACTTAGCAACCCTTCTTCAAACCAAATATCAACCCAAAGCTGTTTCTTCCTTTGAAGCTCATCCCAAAACCATGATCGCCACTATCGTCTGTTTCTCCCTCTTCTGTTTCTCATGTGCTGTATTGATGCTTATAAAAAGAACTACTTCACCCCGGTTACCCGCTATGGTGCACGCCAGCCGGTATCTTCTTCAAGAACACTGTCATCACTTACCTTGAAATTGGTGTCTAGGGCTATCATGATCATCTTCGGTCCTCTAACCTTGGCTTTCATGTTGTTGCTCCTTTTAAGTTTTACCAGGAGGGTCTCTCGTGATAGTTAGGGTGGCTTTACTTTCACTCTCCATTTTGCTTTCTATCACTCAACTAGTTCCAATTTCCCTAATTCAAACGGCCTCGACACAGCTAGTTAGTGACTACTGCAGTAATGATCCAGCTGCAACATGAAAAAGTAGAAGAAGACAAAAACTAAGCTTCCAGCTGAATGTACAAAATTAATGGATGCCACATTTGTACCGTTAATAAGTAACATTATCATGTGCCGATGATAAGCATTATTATGTTTCAGCTCATCTGTAATGTTTCCTTTCAGCTCTCAGAACATGGAAAAAACATAGTAAATCAATTGAAAAGGAAACAGCTAAAAAGAACTGAAGAAACAAAGTATCTATTTCGAAAGGAGCTAATTAAATTCCATGAAATTATCCCCCTGGAGGGGATGGAAGTTAATACGAAGTCAATCATCTAAACATAAGTGTTACCAGTAACCTATTGAGGAAAGTGATGTACCAATAGAAAAGGTAGTGCAAGTGTACCAAGTTTCGACGCTAAGACCATGGAAAAGGCTTTTGCAATGTCAAGGCAGGAGAGAAAAACAAAATAAAAAAAATGAATGGTTGCAATAGGCCTGTGTTTCTAATTATTCTCACTTATAGTGGATTATCAATTGCATCATCTAGATAAGGCCAAAAAATTCAATCATCGTATTCATATCAATGGAGTTGGTCAAATGTCGATTTTACAACGAGGATTTAGAACTGATCTGCTGTATTCTTACTACTATACAACCGAGAAGTAAATTTGTATGGTTGAAAACATTCTAGCTAACATTATTGTTCATGTTGTCAGGTATTTACTCAATCTTTGTGTGCTTCGCCAATGACTCACAGGATAAAAATCCAGTCAGGAGACAGGGAAAGCTCACAGTTTCCTTCTTTGCCTTCGCAAACAGTATCAAAAAGCAAGCAAGCAGACATGGACTTACCAAGTTTTACGCGTTTGTCAGTTGTCACTGATCATGAAGCAGATATCATAAAACCGACATTAAAGAGGTAGAGCAGAGAGTGGCAGTCAATTGTTCAGGAATTTAGACAGAAGACCTACAAAAACATAAAGCATTCAAGCATTAGAAGCACACCATATCGTTTTCGAAATCGAATTCCTCAAGAGGTCAGATTAAATAATTGATCAACTGAAAAGAGAGCATGAGTTTTAGCTTTTACCATCATCATAGTCATATTTTCATTTGTAACGCCTTAGAAGGTGCACACCAACTTTTGTTTGTTTCAAAGAAAGACCAGATGTAAAAATGTAGTTGTATCTTGTATCATTGACTATACTGGTTCCTCATCTTTAGCTCTTTCAATCTAGCAAAATCACGACAAGAGAGAAAGAGGAAGCATAGCTTGAGCAGGCATGAAGTTCTATATCAGCTGTTCCATCTTGAATACTCCACAAATATAGGTTACGGAAGTTCAAAACCCATGCTTCCTTTTCTTATGACCCCTGTAATTGGAGCGCTGCACCGTAGTGTACCTTGAATTCGTAAGTTCCCGTGGAATTGCAGCACCACTTGATTTAAGCACTTCCACTAAATCTTTGAATAAGTTTTTGCTCTCCTCATTTACAAATACCATTGCGGTACCTTCCTCACCCAATCGAGATGCTCTTCCAATCTGATGTACATACTCCTTGATAGAGTTTGGCATGTCAAACACAATAACCTGTTTTACAGATAAGAGATCCACACCCCGGCCCAATACCCCAGTGGCAACAAGAATTGGCACTTCACCAACCAAAAATGATTTTAAAATTTCTCTTCGGTCCTTCATAGATTTCTCTCCATGAATTGATAGAGCTTTTATTCTAGTCTTGATTGCTATTGCTTCGGAGAGGAGATCAGCACCAAGCCGTGAACCAACAAATACAACTGCAGGTGGCTTAAAATGTTGTTTGCTCATCAATATCTCAAAAAGCTTATGCTTCTTCCGATTTGACTCCACCCATATTGCCACCTGCTTTACAGCCCCACTTGGCTTGTTTGGTTTCCCAATGGAAATCACAGTCAACTCTTTTACCATAGAGTTTGCCATTTTCTCCACTTCTGTTGGAATTGTAGCAGAGTACATCAACACTTGGGGAACTGACAATGCCCTATAAATCTGCATAAGCTGCTCATGAAATCCCCTTTCAAGCATACAGTCTACTTCATCAATGACAAGCATCGAGATACTGTCCAATTCAATGTCATGCTTGGTCAGAAGATCAATGAGTCTCCCTGGTGTTCCAACAATCAAAGAGATGCCTTGCTGGATGCGATAGAGTTGCCCAGCCATGGCATCACCACCAACTACTAAGGCAGTTTTAAAGGGTAAACCTTTTCCAAGCAACTTTGCTTGTTCCTCAACCTGTATGCATAGTTCTCGAGTTGGTGCAAGAACCATGGCCAATGGTTTTTTCTGATCCTGGGGAAGCTCACTACTGATTTTTGCACAATAACATATCAAAGGAACCAAAAACGAACAAGTTTTCCCCGAGCCAGTCTCAGCAGAAACTAGCAAATTTTTCCCTACCAACGCCGCTGGGATTGCTTGCATTTGAACTGGAGTTGGCATTTCAAATCCAGTTTCTTCCAAGTTCTGAAGAAGCTTCTGGGGGAGATTACACGAAGCAAAAGACAGAACAGGTGATGGGACATTCTCTCCTTTCACAGATATCATAAGTTTTCTCCTCAGCTGTTCAGTTTGGTTACTAGTAAGAGAACTAGAGAAAGATACATCATTATTTCCATTGACATAATAACACTCATCAGTTGCTTGCAATTTCACTGGAGATGGACGAGGAACAGGAGGTTGCGATTTTGCAATCCGATCAAGAAGAATGCTTTTACATTCAAGGCTGCATACATCATCATCGGTCTGGTCACATATATATTCACCATATCGACCACAGATTACGCACCGAGGTTCCCCCAGGAGAGCTTCCCTCTGATCCCAACACCGCTGTTTCACATCACTTTCAGAAGCTGAAACGGATTAAACATATCAGTTGCAGTCCTAATAACTAAATCAAATCAAGAACCTTAGCACATGCAACAGAAACCACAAAGCACCAAAATATCAAGATAATCTGCAGACTATAAGAATCAATCATCCCACAAATTGAGCCCTCATCATACATTTGTTGAATTAAAATATATAGCAAACACATTGAGACAGTCATACATATCCTAACGGTGAAGTTGCAACAAACGAAACAGGAAAGCAATAACATTCTCTAAAATTGAAAGGACAAACAATCGGAACCATTGAAGAAATTGGGGTTGTGCAAAAATACCTGAAGCTTCTTCGGCATCCGCGGAAATCATTGAAGTCCCACAGTTCTTATCAACAAAATAGCCACTATCCATCCTTAACAAAGATTTATTCGACGCAAAAGTCCAACGAAAAAGTTCCGGCAATTGAAGATTTCAAACCAATTGCAGCTCGGAACAGGAAAAACGAGCACAAACCAACTACCTAAGAGAGGATATTGTATAGGAAAAAAATAATTAGGTTACCAACAGTAATTGGATCACCTTCGGGAATTTATCCTGGTTTAGCCGGCGAAGTGTTCCACGGTCGGCGACGACGCAGCCACGCTCTCTATGGATGGTTTTTAACATTAATTGTTTATTTATAAGGAAGCCAACGTCGTCGTTCTGCTACTCTTCTTACTTCAAATTATGAGAGGTAATTTGAAGACTTTTTAGTAGAAGAGTGAAGAGTCCTTTTTTCGCATTTACTACATTTTTTCTTGCCTTTTCCTTACTTCAATCTCAAATTCCGATAAAATTCCTTCAATCCTTTATTTTTCTTGTCTCTTTTCTCTGAAGCAAAATTTATAGATTTTTGCATAAATTATTGCTCTCAAAAGAGACCTTGACTCTGGCAGAATAAGAGAGGCTTTCTAATTTATATCAATTTAAGGAGACTCGATGAATGTCATTCTTGCATTACAAGGTGAATATATTTGTCCGGAGATTTATTAATGGATTTTGGATGATGTACGGATTCGCCTTGTATGTTTAACTTGTTTAGATGTCTTTTAGAATTGTAGATCAACAAATACTGTAATTCACGAGTTGGTTTTCTTTATTAAGAATAGCACATCGATATTTGTAACGTGGTCTAATCCACCTCTCTTTTGTCAAATGCAGTCAGATGCTTCCCAACAAGGCTAATAAAAATTTTATCTCACTTAAAAAAAAATGTTAAAGATTTTGGATATTACTACAATTTTGTATCATGGCCACATGTTGGTCACCCATTTCTTTTTTGCAATTTCAGAACATAAACAACAACACAAACACAAGGGAATGCATGTTTTAGTGTATAAGTAAATTATCTTACATATTGTATGTTTATTATTTGTTCCATACATCTACAATTTATTTTTTTTTTAAATAAAAAAACCCTACATTACAATTACTTTTTCTCAGAATCCTGTTTTTACTGTATATGATGATGGTGCATTTGTGCATGTTTAAAATTTCTGCTATTTTATTACTAAACTTAAATTGTAGTAGTATATATAGTATTTTTTTTCATACCGGAAAAAAACCCACATGTGAATTATTTGGCGGGAATAATCATAAAATTTAGGGAGGGAAAGACAAAAAAGGTTTTTTTGGCGGTTTCAGAAAATTAAACAACCTGACATTTCGCGCAATCTCCTCAACCCAAGCAAGCCACGCTCACATTATACTCTTCTCTACCACGCCCCCCAAAGTCCGATCGCCTTTGCTAATTTCTGTTGTGTTTCCATGGCTAAAACTAATAACTCTGAATCGGATTCCGATGCCGGTAAGTTATATTGGCTTCTTTTCTTTCTTTTTTTTTTTTTCCTTTTTCTTGCGTAATTAAATTTCTTCAGTTTGTAGAACGTTTCCATCAAAAACAGTTTTGTCTCTGCAATTTCATTGAGAAATTAGGTTATTGTTGTTTCTCTGTCTCTGCTAATCAGGCTGTGAAATTAATTCTGAAGATCGATCTTCTTCTGTGCATTCCGATGGAGGAGAGAACGACCTGGACCTCTGTATTCAAAATGCTCGAGAGGTGCTTGATTTAAAGTTTGAGTGAAAAATACTGAATTTGGCTTATATCTGGGAATTATAATGTATTACATTTTTTAGATGAGAGAAGATGAAGAAGATGATGAAGAGGAGGACGATGAAGTTTCGGGAAAAGCCGCAGCAATTAAGCTAATTGAGATTTACAAGAGCCGTCTCCAAATTGAGGCAACAACTTTATGTCTTGATGACTTGTCTGAGGACTCATTGCACAAGCTGTTGGAACATCGAATAGTTCAAATGCGTTAGAAAAGAAGACAGATGAGCCAAGAACCGTGCAGATTCTGCAAGAAATCAAGGCTCACGGGCAAAGGATGGTTGAATGAAATACTTTGCGGTCGCTATGCTGATTTGTTCGGGAGATCTATGATGGATGCCACAACATTTGTGAGGTTTTGTGAGGTGCTACAAGAAGGAAAATACATTGAGGAAGCCCCAATGGGAATGTATCTGCTCAGGAGGCGGTTGCTTTGTTTCTAGTGATGATGAGTGGCGACGAACGAGTGCATGGCCTAGCTGATAGTGTGCAGTCCAGAGACAGTTAATCGCAACATTCTATGCGCAATGGGATCTATCATCAGATTTTATCCGGTGATTGTAGCATCAGGGAAACAATAACGGGGCTGTCGAGGGTAAATCCCGGAGATGGAGAGTCAACGGTCCGACCTAGACGGGAACCTGCAAAACGGAGGTTAGCACTCCGAAGGTCAAGTCAGTTCTAGGGAGAGAAGTAAATAATTGTCACACTTAGAGAGAGAAACGGGAGTGTGGAATTGAAATCTGCAATAAATTAATCAAGGAGTATTTATAAGTCCCCAATGGGACTATACCTGTGGGCCCCTATGTCGAGAGAGGCAAAAGCGTAAACAGACATGTGTTAATCCCTTGTAAACCGGTTAGGCCCAAAGGAATTAAATAAATAGACGAGTTGGGCTGGTAAGATGAGCCCAAGTTGGATGGCAAGTTGGGCCGGCCCAGGTGGGTCAGAATTGACCTCAAACAAATGCCCCTGTCAAGTCCATTGCAGCGAAGTTGGATTGGGTTTGACATAAAGAAGTGGCAGGCCCAACGCACCGGCCCGGGTTCTGGAATATTCCATCTCAAAGCCGCCCGGGATCCAACGGCTCCGGGTCCTTCCCGCCCAAACGAGATGGACGCACAGGATTTCATGGAAGGACGCATCGCAATCATGGCACCGGAGGGGAATCGAGGGGACTGTTCACCTTCCTTAGGAGTATATAACCCCCTCGCAGGGCACCGTACTTCATTTCTTTTTCTCCCTTCTGCTTTCTAGTGTTAAACTGAGTTCCGATTTCTTCTCTTCTACTCCTCTTTCTTTCGGCGTATTGCTGTCCGGAGATCGGAATCACAGCCGGCGACCGTCCGCAGGTGACTTCTAACCGACCTTAAACAAGTAAGTCTCCCTCTTCTCTTGTACGTTCGATTTACCAGATGGCCAAAGAAGTGGTTAGGGTAGAGGATGTTGAGTGCTCGTTAACCCAGGATAGGCAAAGCGACTTAGAAAACCATTACAGCCTTACGGCCGTCCACCCCACATTACCAGAAGGCCATGAGAGGGCTAACACCCTCCCTCCGAGAAAAATCACAATGAGAAGTTTTTGGAATACGGGTTACACTTTCCCCTGATACCCATGTTCAGGAAGATAGTGGAGGCCTACGGCCGACCCTTGGCCCAATATACCCCGAACCTCATAACCATAGTGCTAGCCTTCGTACACGTATGTAACAAGATGGGAGTGGAGCCAGACATCTTCTTATTTAGGTGTTTTTACAAAATCGTCCGACGCAGGAAAAGCTTTCCTGGATGGTTTAGCTTTACCAAGAATCCAAACGGACCCTCCAAGGAGCTAGTAGCGAAGAATGAGAGTTCCAAGCATTAGAGGTCGGGCTTCTTTTACATGGACGCGGACTTCGTCTCCCTCTTTCCGTGGACGTCAGACGAGGGGGGAACGATCAACTTAGACCCGTGGACCAAGAAGGATAAGAAAGACATTGAAACCCGGAGGGGAGACTTAGAGAAATTGGCCGGGTGGAACAAGATCTATACCTACAGGCAGATCGCGTCCTTAAGCGACATGATTAGCTCTCGTAATCAAGGTATTTTTTTCGAAGACTAACTTTGGTTATTTTTCTGTTGATAGGTATATTTGCTAATCTGATGGGTAAACGCTCGGCTTTTGATTATTCAGACGAAGAGGAACAATATCCCGAGGAAAGGCCACAAGGAACCCCCCCGCCGGAGATGGGGCAAGCGCCTTCCAGTCAGATGACGAGGGCGCGCGCCGAAAGTTCGAGGAAGAGGAACTCCTCGGGCCAAACCTCAGGTCATCAAAAGAGAAAGCGGGAAGATCCTGAGGTTGTGGAGGTCGATCGGTTGTCGTTCAGCCTACCCGCGATCCACGAATTGTCCTCCATTGACGAACTTCTGAAGGAGGGATACGCGGATCAAGGATGAGGAACCGACTTGTTTGAGGGTCTGCTAACGTTCGACGCCCCACGGGTCGAGTGTGCGGATCTGCTCGATGTCGGGGTGCTGAGGCTGGAGGACGGCATGAGGCAGGTAAAAGTCGTTTTTTATCTTCTTCCTTTTTCCTCTTTTTCCCAAGTACCTGCTCCTCATACTCGGGAAGTTCCCCTTCTAACCAGGGACATCCACGTACAGGTCGTGCAGGTAGTGAACTCGTCCGTGATGGTGTGCACGGACTTGGAGGGGCAACTGGCTTCGGCCATGAGGAAGGCCACGAGCGAGACCAATAGGGCTAGAGAGGCGGAGACACGGCTCCAGGCCTTGGAAGGAGAGAGAGGGCGCCTAGAAGAGGAGAGAGTGCGTTTGGAAGAGGAGGTTACGAGGATGAAAGGATAGCTCGAAGGCATGGAGCTGACCCATAGCCTCCAAATGAAGAGTCTGTTGGCTACGAGTGTCCCAAAATCCCGTCTGGACGCATACATCCTTGCGGAGATCCAGCGGTACCTGGGGTCGTCTGAGTTCGCCCTCGGAATAAATGACGTCATGGACCCCGCTATGGAAAGGGGGGCGAGGAAGGTCGTCATGGAAATCGAGGCGGCCCAGAAGAAAAACGAGGACATCCAGCCCATCCTCGACAAATATGCGGATAGGGAAATGAAGGGGAAGACGTCCGCGGTACGGTTGCGGTGCAAGGCCCGAAAGCACTTTCAGGATATGGACTTCGCGCATCTTCCAATTATGCAACAGATCGCCGGGACTTGCCCCTCTATCTCGAAGCCCGAGGACATTCTAAATATCTCGGACAGCCCTTCGTTCGTCTTCCAGATGCTGAGGGGGATGCAGACGCCTCCAAGCACGCCGCCGGGGCTCGATGAGGAGCCGGAGATAGTCGCATCTGCACCTCCACCCCAAGGGCACAACTCCGGAAGCCGAGGAGGAGGGGGAACCTTGACAGACTCCAACGCCCATAGCGGAGACAAGGTGAACGATGCGTAGGGTTAGGATTCCTAGTGATCACCTGTCTTCGGGGCTGTCCCCGTTGTATCTGAGTTTTAATTGAACATCAATGAAGTTTTTATTTATTCATGGTCGAGTTGTTATTTCCTCGTCCCCTTGTTTCGTGCATTTATCGAACTTGGTTATAATTGTGTTCATTTATTTTATGAAGTGTCTATTCTTCGGTACAAACTTATTTTTACCTCTGGGGATGCGCGCCTCCTAAACTTTCCATTGACACGCGCTTCCTTATAGGGGAAGGACGCGGCTTCGGACTTCCCCTCTCAGCCCGAGGGAACCTCTCGAGGCGTGCCCGCGACTCCGGGTCATTGGGAAACGTCCGGGATTCCCTGGATCGACTTACAATTGCCCGATCCTCATCATGACCCGATGATCTTTCCACTGTACGCGGCTGTAGAAAGCGCCTTGGTGGATCCGAACATCGATAGGAGGCGGGGACGACTGTCAGGTCTCGAAGGCCAACTAGAAGAGGCTTTGCAAACCTTCAGGGCCTCAGAGCTACACGAGGCACGCAAGGCCGTCATCGAGGCGAAGGCCAAAAACGACCGGTTGGATAAGTTATGGAGGGATACGGAGGCCTATTAGGAGGATCACCTGAAGAACTCTATGCAGTTGGAGATGTTGGCTAACAATCGCCTTCGGACATTCGAAAGCAAGATACGGAAGAAGAAGAAGGATGAGGGCTTAGCCGAACCCGACCTGGAGGATTTTATCCCTCGCAACTATTTTGAGAGTGTCCTAGTACATCTCCGGAAGGCTTACGCCTTAGTTGCTGTGAGTGGGATCGGTCCTCTGATAAGATCGAGGCTCTTCGGACGTATGCTGGCCAGCTTCGGGTAGCTTTGGAAAGCGCGATCTCCTTCATCGTAGAGACGGGGAAGGAATATGATTTTGAGGCTTTGTGGCCCGAGCCCTGTCTGGCCATGCGGGATGACCCCATTTCTCCGACTCGCGAGGCCGAACGCTTAATATATGAGAACGATGCTCTGTTCTTCGAGTTGGGTCGAGGGTCTCATTAGGGACGTGTAATTAGGTTAGGTGATTTTTGGTGTATTTTTGTTAAATGTATAGATCCGAGGGCTATGCCTTCGAAAATTCACACATATAATTGATTCATCCTTTTTGAACATCGACTTATTTCTTTTTCTTGTTTACTCGTTTTATTATTATTCCTTCTTTTACGGTTGTGTATATAAAATTCTGTTTATTGCCGACGCTCTTTGCTATGGTCTGACGGAGGTGATACAAGTACCTTCCCTCGGATTTTATATTTCAACCGTATTACTAATGTTATACTAATTTAGTCGATACTTAGTTAAACCGTATCTGACGGAGGATTGTGGGGGCCTTCAGGGTTCCGTAGGCTGCGGAGGCCGCACGGTGCCGTCGGCCACTGGGGTCGAGACGGCTTTGTAAATGCCCCAAGGTCACGGAGACCGTAGGGGTTCCGCAGGCCGCGGAGGCCACGCGGTTTCTTGAAGGATGGCATCTGTACGAAGGCACAAGAAGTAGTTTATTAACAGCAAAAGTGCCGGAGTTCTGCTCGGCTAATATCTATTACAAAAGCAGGCCGGAGCATTCAGATATTGAACTTCCTGAGGTTCTGGATGTTCCACCATCGGGGAATGTCGCGGGACTCGTCGTCACACGTGCGCAGGCGATAACTCCCTGAGGGAGAAACTTCCACAACCTTGTATGGCCCTTCCCAATTCGGAGCTAACTTTCTGGTCGGCTCAGCGTGGCTCACCTCGTTTCGTCGAAGGACTAGGTCTCCGACTTCAAAGTCCCGAGCCCGGACCTTAGAATTGTAGTACTTGGCCACGATCTGCTTGTATTTGGCTTCGCGGGCTTTGGCCAGGTCTCGCCGTTCGTCCAGGAAATCGAGGCACAGGCGGATTTCGTCTTCGTTCATATCTTCTGCGAAGTTGATCACCTGGGGACTGGGCACCTCTATTTCAGCTGGGAGGACGGCTTCCATGCCATAGACGAGGCTGAAAGGGGTTGCCCCTGTGGCCGTCCTCATAGTGGTACGGATGGCCCAGAGGACGTGTGCCAGCTCCTCGGGCCATAGCCCCTCGGCTCTCTTAAGCCGTGTCTTCATGCCTTTTAAGATGGCCTTGTTTATATTTTCCACCAATCCGTTGGCCTGAGGATGGGCCACGGACGAAAACCGTTGTTCGATCTCGAGCTGCTCGCACCAAGATGTAAAAATCTTTGATTCAAACTGAGTTCCGTTGTCTGAAACGAGGACTTTCGGGATCCCAAATCGGCAGACTATGTTCTTCCAGAAGAATTTGGCCACGTTTGCCCCTGTGGTGGAGGCCAAAGGTTCCGCTTCGACCCATTTAGAAAAATAGTCAATTGCAACGATCATGAACTTGAGCTTACCCGGGGCCACTGGGAAAGACCCTATTATGTCCGTTCCCCACTTGTAGAAAGGCCACGGGCTGCCAATAGGGACCATCTCATGTTGGGGGAGCTGCGGGATAGGGGCATGTTTTTGGCACTGTTCACACCGAAGGACAATATTGTAGCAATCCTGGGACAAGGTGGGCCAATAGTATTCAGCGCGGATCAGCTTCTTGGCCAGATTACGTGAACCTAAGTGCGCCCCACAAGTGCCTTCGTGCATGCTCCGGATCAATGTTTCAGCTTCTCCGGCCCCACACAACGCAGCAAGGGCGTCAGATACCCTCGCTTGTAGAGGATGCCATCCCTCAGCAGGTATTTAGGCGCCTTGAGCCGAATCTTCTGGGCCTCCCTTGGATCCGCGGGCAAAGCCCCAGTCCGGAGGTACTGGACAAAGGGTGTCATCCAAGAGGCCTCATCCATCACCACAGGCAACACTTCGTCGTCCAGGATACTCGGACGCGTCTTGACCTCCATGTGAATCTGCTGTGCTAAGCGTACGGCATGGGAAGAGGCCAGCTTGCTCAAGGCGTCGGCCCTCTTGTTCTGCGACCCCGGTGTGTACCGAATGTGGAAGACACGAAAGCCGCGCTCCAACGCCCTGACTTTCTGAAGATACTTTTGGAGCACCACCTCCCGAACTTCGTACAGCTGAAGGACATGATTTACGACCACCAGGGAATCACTGCAAACTGAGACTTCCCGAACAGCGAGAGCGCGGGCGATAGATAGCCCCGCGATCAGTGCTTCATATTCGGCCTCATTGTTCGTGGTAAGCTGAATAGCATAAACAATTTCCGACCCGTGGGGATCGATTAAAACCACACCCGTGCCCGAACTTTCTCTGGATGCGGACCCGTCGACAAACAAAGTCCATAGTTGCGGTCCGGCGGGTGAAGGTTCTTCAGGGTCTTGACAACATTCATTGACCACGGCTTCTACCCCCCGAGGAACTTCGACAAGGAAATCGGCCAAGGCTTGGCCATTGATAGAGGTTCGGGGCCGAAATTCTATGTCATGCTCCCCGAGTTCCACAGCCCACTTAGTCATCCGTCCCGACGCGTCGGACCTTCGAAGAATTTGCTGTAGGGGCTGATCCGTAAGAACAAGGATCGGGTGCGCCTGGAAGTAGGGGCGCAACTTCCGGGCCGCGGTCACCATTGCAAAAAATTAACTTCTCGGCAGGGGTGTATCGAGACTCGGCGGGAAGAAGGACCTTATTGACATAATAAACAGGAATCTGCGCTCCCTTATGTTCTCGCACCAAAGCTGCACTCACAGTAGATTCACCCACGGCTAAATACAAAATCAGAGTCTTCAAGTTTTCTTTAAGTTCCATGAAGGCTTTCTGACAAGCCTCAGTCCAGCCGAAGGTATCAGACTTCTTGAGAACCTGGAAGAAGGGCAAGCTCTGTTCGGCCACCTTTGACAGGAATTGCCCTAAGGCGGCAATTGAGCCTGTAAGCTTTTGTACTTCCTTGACGGACCGCGGAGGCTGCATCTCCAAGATGGCTTTAATCTTTGTAGGATCTACATCGATCCCCCTCCGAGAAATCTGATAACCAAGAAACTTCCCTGATCCGACGCAGAACACACATTTCTTCGGATTCAGCTTCATGTTGGCCGCTCTGAGGGTCTGGAAGGTCTCCCCGAGGTCCTTGACAACAAGGTCCATCCCACGACTTTTCACCACCATGTCATCCACGTAGACCTTTATGTTCCGTCGCAGCTGGTCCTCGAAGACGCGATTAGCCACACGTTGATAAGTGGCACCTGCGTTCTTGAGACCGAAGGGCATTTTGACGTAGCGGAACACTCCCCTTTCGGTGACGAAGGCCGTCTTCTCGGCATCATCCTCGTGCATCAGGAACTGGTGGTATCCTTTGTACGCATCCAGAAAGCTAAGCACCAGGTATCCCGAGATAGCGTCGACCTTCTGCTCGATTGCCGGAAGAGGGTAGCAATCCTTGGGACAGTGCTTATTGAGATCCTTATAATCCACGCACATACGCCAAGAAGAGTCAGGTTTCCTGACCATAACAGGATTGGCCAACCATGTGGGATAGAAGATCTCCTTGAGGATAGACGCGGCCAACAGCTTAGTAACTTCCGCATCGATGGCAACATTGCACTCGGGGGCCATCTTCCACCTCCTTTGCTGTATGGGTCACGCGCTAGGGTTGACATTGAGTTTGTGTATGCCCAACTCGGGGAGAATCCCCGTCATGTCACCGGGACTCCAAGCGAAGACATCTTCGAACTGCCTCAACAATTCAACCACCATGTCCCGAAGACTGGGGGCAAAACCGTTCCCAGGCTGATGACCCTTCCTTCTACAAAAGGATTTAGAGCTATGTCTTTAACCTCTTCATCCGCGGGAACAGGGTCGTCGTTTCCTTGGTCTTCGTCTACAAAGACCGGGGCCTTCTGGATGGACCCGACAGTCACCTTTCCCTGAAGGAAGTTACGTCCCTTCTTTGCGGCGATGACCATGCACTGTCGCGCCAATTGCTGGTCTCCCCGAACCTCTACAATCCCAGCCTCGGTCGGGAACTTCATGACCAAATGGTAGGGCGAGTAAATGGCCTTCGCTTAGCTCATCCAGGGTCATCCCAGAATGATATTGAAAGGGGCATCGACGTCCACTACCACAAAGTCGACGAGAATCACCTGATCCTTGGGATAAGTCCCTACGGTGACAGCCAAGCTGATTACGCCTAACGGCATTATCACGTGGTTAGAAAAGCCAACCAGAGGTATGCATGCGAGGCAGAGCTGAATTTTGTCGAGGCCCAACTTCTGGAAACAATCAATGTACATGACATCCACCGCACTGCCATTATCAACGTACACTCGCCGAACTTCCCTGTTGGCGACTATGGCCGTGATGACGAGCGCGTCGGAATAATCTTCAGAGCCACCCACCAAGTCTTGCTCCGAGAAGGATATCGCTTCCCTGGGACGAAGGCGTTTGGCCTCGGACTCCCCCGGTGGCCGGGGATGCGAACTCCTGCGGAGAGCGGCAACACTCTGGACCCCCAAGGGTGCCCCGAAGATAGCGCACAGGGGCGGCCAAGATCTGCCGTGCTTGCGCCGGATCGACATCATCCTGGGCCTTGGCCCCGTCCCCGACGGGAGTCTGGTTAGCGGTCTTGGCCTTGTTCTTCTTCCACCTCCGGTTCTTGGGTCGGCCTAACGCTTTCTCTTGGGATCTCTTCTGGACACAATCCTGGAACTTACCCGCCTTAAGGCCCTCCTCAATCTCCTTCTTCAGCCTATAGCAATCCTCAGTGTCATGCCCCTTGCTCCGGTGAAAGTCACACCATTCGGACGAGGATTCATCCTGAGACCGGCCCGAGGGTAGAAGCTTGAACTCACTCTTGTGAATTTGAAGGATCTCCTTTCTGGTTTTGGTGAGGACATGCACCTTGGACTAGAACTTCGGAGATCCGATGTTGAGCTTTTTCGCCTCCGGCTTCCCTTTTTTCTTCTTGCCTTTGGCAAAAGCCTCTCTGGCGCTCTTCATGGACTCATCGGTCCGGATCTTCTTTTATACTATTTCCCACAACCTCTGGGTAGTGCCCAGAGGCTTAGCCGTGAGCTTGCTCCTTAGGGCAGCGCCTGCGCCAAAGGGAGAGAGGCCATTCACGAACTCGACCCTCACTACCAAATCGTCGACCTGGTCTATCATCATGAGTTCTTTCGTGAACCTCTCATAGTATTCCCGCAGAGACTCGTTCCGGCGCTGGCGGACTGAAGACAAGTCGTGGATGGTGCGCCTGGCTCTCTTGCTGGAAAAGAACCGTACATGTAGCTTTCGCTCTAAGTCCGCATAAGAAGTAACGCTGCCCGGAGCCAGGCCATCGAACCATATCTTAGCAGCCCCTATTAGGAAAGTGGGCAACGCTTTAGCAGAGAACTCCTGGGGTGAGTCTCGCAAATCCATGGCCGCGGTGTAATGGGCCAGGAAGCTGACTGGACAGGTATCACCCCCGTACTTCGGGATGTCCGTGGGGAGTTTCAAGTTAACCGGTCATGGGCAACACCGGATATGCTCGGCAAAAGGACTTCCCAGTGTCTCCCTACTATCGAGTATGGCCTCGAGCCGGGGATCTGACACACCCTCGCGGTCCACCCTCGGCTCGGGTCTTGGTGGGGTCTTAGGGTCACATTCTCTGGATCGATCTCGACCCCGAGGGACCCTTCTTTCCCCCATGAACATAAGACTGTCGTTGGGACCTTCGCCTTTGCCTCCGTAGTACATGTCTTTGTATTTTTTGAATTGTTTTTCGAATCCAGGGAATTTTCCGACAAAGGACCTCCAGAAGCGATCATCATGTGGTCCCCGTTCGGGAGAACAGGATGGACGAGGACGCTTGGAAGTTTCTTTTCTCCTCTCCGCTTCTTTACTGGTCCGGCGGGATCGGCTCCTTCGGTGTTCGGCTGACTCATGGTCGCGGCCCTCCTGAGGGTCGTCGGACCTCCTGGAACGACCCTGACGATTATTGGTCCGGGATGCCCCTTCGGCATCCTCCTTATCTCGGCGTTCTCTGCGGGAGCTTGCCCCTACCACCTTCGATCTCAATCCAGGCCTGCGACTCGTCTCCTCGTTGGGCCTTGTCCGGGTGGAGACCATCGCTCTCGTAGAACAACTGGATTTGCCCTCAGCCAACCGGGAAAGAGACTTTCCACAGACGGCGCCACTTGTCGAGGGTAAATCCCGGAGACGGAGAGTCAACGGTCCGACCTAGACGAGAACCTGCAAAACAGAGGTTAGCACTCCACTGTCAAGTCAGTTCTAGGGAGAGAAGTAAATAATTGTCACACTTAGAGAGAAAAACAGGAGTGTGAAATTGAAATCTGCAATAAATGAATCAAAGAGTATTTATAGGTCCCCAATGGGACTATACCTCTGGGCCCCTATGTCGAGAGGGGCAAAAACGTAAACAGACATGTGTTAATCCCTTGTGAACCGGTTAGGTCCAAAGGAATTAAATAAATAGACGAGTTGGGCTGGTAAGATGAGCCTAAATTGGATGGCAAGTTGGGCCGGCCCAGGTGGGTCAGAATTGACCTCCAACAGTGGCGGACATAGAAAAATGCTCAACAATGCTAAACTGTATCCATGGTTCAAGGTATAGTCTTAATGCTCTTGCTGTTTGTCTCTACTCTTTTTTTTTTCCCCGTTTGGTTGAGGTAGATATTTAGTGAAACTGACCACTAGATTGTGTTAGGATTTGTATCGGGGCTGTAGATTGTAAACACATCCCTGCGTGGCCAACAGAAAGACAAGGGGCGTGGCGAAATAGGCAGGGGAAGCTATCTCAAAATGTTATATTTGCGTGTGATCTTGATATGAGATTCATATATGTCTTAGGAGGATGGGAGGGCAGTGCCCACGACAAACGGGTATTTGAGAGTGCCCTGGAGAAAGGCTTGTCAGTCCCAACTCAGGGAAAATACTATGTGGTTGACAAGTTGTACCGAAACAGGCCTGGATTCTTAGCTCCTTTTCTAGGCCATCGGTACCATGAAAGGCAATTCAAGGGTAAGCTGAATCAAGCTCCCGTTAGTGCAGAAAAGCTATTTAATCAAAGGCATTGCCATCAAAGGAATGTTATAGAGAGATGCTTTAAGGTCTTAATGAGACGATTTCATTTCCTCACTGAGCCACAATTTCATCCGAGACCACAATCGAGATGATCGGCACTTTGCCGATTTTGATGATGGTGATGCCGCGGAGGGTGAACAACCTCTTCAGAACCAGGATTTCCAGGAGGCAAAGCAGGCGGAAGAGCTACCGGATGATCAATGGAACGCTTGGCGAGCCTTGTTAGCAAACCGAATGTGGGATGCAGAGATGGCTGGACATTAAGTTCACTGGATGAGTATTTGTTTGCGACTAAAATGTCCAAATGGTCCCTTACATTTGGGCCTACTTGAATTTACGTCCTTTACATTAACATTTCAATATCGTAGTCTCAAATACTATGTTTTCACACTTTTTTAGTCTCATTTCACTATTTCCGGCCGTTGACATGCCGGAATCAGGGGTATTTTTGTCTTTTAATTTAATTTAAATTTTTATTAAAATTTAAATCATTAAAAATATTTTAAAATTAAAATTTCATTATTTAATTGTGAAAATATTATTTATTAATTAAAAATATTATTGTATAATTTAAAATTTATCATTATTTTCAAACTTATTTTTTTTTATTTACTATTTACTTTAAGTACATAGTAACTAGTAATTATGTTGTACTTTTAATTTTGGGCCCACTGTAACTTAACAAATTAACCAAGTTATTGTAAATAATTCAAAATTCAATTATTTAAAAAAAAATAAAAAGCAAACCTAAGATTTTTTTTACTCTTACCGCTACAGTAAACCCTAAATGGTAATTATGTTACACTTTTAACCTTGTACTCACTGTAACTTAAAAAATATACCGAGTTACAGTAAATAATTCAAATTTTTTTTTTTTTTTTAAAAAAAACAAAACCAAGTTCTTTTTACTTTGACCGCTAGAGTAAACCCTAAATGGTAATTTTAATACACTTTTAACCTTGGATTCACTGTGACTTAAAAAATTTACCGAGTTACAGTAAATAATTTAAAATTCAATTTTTTTAAAAAAAAAAAGAAAAGGCAAGACCACGATTTTTTTTACTCTGACCGCTATAGTAAACCTTAAATGGTAATTATGTTACATTTTTAACCTTAGACCCACTGTAACTTAAAAAAATTTACCGAGTTACAGTAAATAATTCAAAATTCAATTTTTTTTTCCAAAAAAAAGGAAAAACTAAGATTTTTTTTTACTCTGACCGCTACGTTGCTTTTTTAACGTTGGACCTACAATAACTTAAAAAATTTATCGAGTTACTATAATTCAAAATTTATTTTTTTAGGAAAAAAAGGAAAAAGCAAAAAAAATTAATTGACATAAACATTAAACACTATGGCTCTCTCACTAGTTTCTCTCTCTTGAAAATTCTCTCTATATCCCATGTCAACTTCCTCCACTCCACCGCATTCTGGGGGACAACCCCCTTTAACGCCAATTGATGATCGGTCAACAAAGAAAGCTAGGTACGGGGGGTGGACAATCAAACACCATACCCTTCATATCCTGTTGCCCAACCCCAAGCCTACAACCCATCAAACCAGAACCCTGAATCAGATGCAATCCCTAGAACTATGCCTCAGCCTGAAGCCTCTGAACCAAAACAGCCTAATCCTCCACCGATGAGCTTTCGTGACAAAATACTCCAAGGGAAGCGCTGGATGGAAAAACCAATGTTTGAGGAAGACCATCCACTGGAGATGTTAGAGGATGATATAGTGTTTGATAAAAGTGGGGATGTCCCTAAAGCTTTGGTTTCAGAAAGACTTGAGCAACAATTAGTGCAACCATGGAAAGGGGTACTAGTTCTGAAGCTAATGGGCGCTTCCATTAAATACAACCAGCTCTGTTCTCGCCTCCATACTTTGTGGCACGATACGAAAGGATTTGCAGTGATGGATGTAGAACGAGACTTTTTCTTGGTGAAATTCTGGAATGATGAAGATGCAGCAAGAATTCTGAGGAATGGTCCATGGATGGTCATGAACACCTATTTCCATGTGCAGCAATGGAACAGTGCGTTTGATGCAAACACTCATGTGGTCAGATCAATGGTGGTATGGGTAAGGCTCCCTAGTCTTCCTGCACATTTCTATAATAACCATTTCTTACACCGATTAGGGGGATTATTGGGAAGAGTGGTTCAAATCGATCATCAAACCACTGCTAGAACCAGAGGGAAATTTGCACGGATGGCTGTGGAGATTGATCTTGAAAACCCAATTTGTACCCGCTTTGATTTGAAGGGGAGAATCCAGAAGGTGGAGTACGAAAATTTGCCATACTTGTGCCTCATTTGTGGCCACTATGGCCACTTGACTGGAAAATGCCTCGCTCAGCTGCTAGCTAACCAAACACAAGAAGATCGGGGGAAGTCATTGGAGATTTCGTCTGAGGCGGGTCCCAATGGCAAAGTCAAAACCCATGTGAAGCCACGACAAGACGATTGGGTTCAGGTTACAAGGAACAACAAGGCGAGACCGTCAAGTCCCAATCGCTCTGAGAAAGTCTCAAGGCCAACACAAGAGACCGGGTCCCACTATGCGTCGCTTCTGGTAGAGGAAGTGGAGGAGCACGTTAGTGCACATGGTGGAGGCTTGAATCCCGAAGCGGTGGAACCTGTGATAGTTGTAGAGGAAGATGATGACAAAATTGGACCCCAGACAAAACCATTAAGCCAAACCTGCCCTCTACTGGAACCAAAAAGAACCCAAATGAACAAGCCCAACCAAATACAAGCCCAAAACTAGTATGCTCAGCCAAAAAAGAGCCACAATTAGACCCAACATGAACAAACCAAACAAAAGCCGAACCAAAACATAACAGTCCATTCTAATGAACCCACCCATGTTAACCCCATTGTACCTGTCACCCGATTGCAACAGAACCTACCAGTCAACTCGATACCACCCCACCCCCTCAATCAAACGGGGGATCAAGATTAATCCGGCACCATCCACATTGGAGCTGTCATGATTTCCCTTGAACCCAAACCAAGTATTACACAAGCCCCAAACATTCAATTGCCTATACCTCATATTTCCCCGGATTTAGACCCTCCTATGGAGAAGTCGCCCCCTGATCTGACAACCCAGCCGGCGTCGCCTGAGACGGTGGACGTGGAAGAAGAAGAGCAGTTACATACGCCGGCGGAGGATAGTAGCAGAATGGAAGAGGACACAGGTGATTCATTTGTGGTCCTTAATTCGCAGTAAGCTGCAGATTACTTTTTCTAATAAATTTTTCATGATTATGAGTCTAAACATCATGTCATGGAATGTTCATGGAGCGGGCTCCCTGGAGCTTCGTAGTTCATTTTTATGTATTGTACAACAGAACCGTCCTGATGTGGTTGCTGTTCTTGAACCTAGAATAAGTGGAATAAAGGCGATGATTTTATCAAACACTCCAAATTTGAGAAGTCATTTCGTGTAGAAGCAGAAGGTTTTCTGGAGGTATTTGGTTATTGTGGAATAAAGATGTTGAAGTCTACATTTTAAACTGTCACAAACAATTCATCCATACCCGGATTGTCAAAGGGTCGGTTGAATCGTTAGTGACATTTGTCTATGCTAGCCCAACATATAGTATTCGTAGATTACTGTGGGAGGAATTACATCAATTAGGTGCAGGAATTTCCCAGCCATGGCTTGTAGGTGGGGATCTCAATTGCACAATGCATGAGTCTGAAAGGAGAGGCGGCTCCAAGAAGCACCGTGGGCCATGTAAACTGATTACAAAGTGTGCAGATGAATGTGGGATGCATGAGTTGAGAACTACTGGGTCACGCTTCACTTGGGTCGGAATGAAAGGGAGATTGTCAAAGAAGCTAGACAGATTCCTAGCCAATACTGGGGAAGTTTGTTCCAAAATAGCCTAGTGGTTCACCTACCAAGAGTCCAATCTGATCACCATCCTATCCTGGTGAAGTGCTCTGGCGATTTGCAGACAAGAAAGCCAGGAAAACCATTTATGTTCTTGGCTCCGTGGCTAACCCATCAAACGTTTGATGCGATGGTAGAGAGTTCATGGGATAAGAAGAAGGAATTGCCACAAGCAATCAGAGAATTCGCTGCTGCTGCCACAACTTGGAACGCTTATGTCTTTGGGAATATCTTCCAGAGGAAAAAACGCGTGTTGGCACGAATTGCAGGCATTCAAAGAGCTCGGGAGCACTATTTCTCAGCCAAATTACAGAAGTTAGAGCATGAATTACAGACTGCATTCTCAGAGATTCTGCGCCAGGAGGAATTACTTCTGATTCAAAAATCGAGTAGGGAATGGGCTCTCCATGGCGATCGTAATACGAAGTTCTACCATGCTTATGTAAAAGCCAGCAGGAGGTGCAATAGAATTGTGGCGTTGAGGAACGATGTTGGTGAGCTGATTTTTGACCAGGAGGAGCTCCAATCGATGGCGGTTCAACACTTAAAAAAAAAGCTCTATGTAGCCCAACCAGAGCCCCCAATTTTGTACACTGTGAGAGATTGCTTTCCTTGTGTTCCACATGATGAACTCCAGTACATGGTGAGGGAGGCGTCACCTGATGAAATACGAGCAAAACATAATGAGATGCATCCATTAAAAGCCCCTGGGGTTGATGAAATTCACGCCTTGTTCTATCAGAAAAAATGGACGGTAGTAGGAGAGGCTATTTGCACAATGGTTAGGGATGTTCTACTTGGTAACGGATTTGTGGAGGCCATAAATAAGACTGCAGTTGTCTTAATTCCAAAAGCGCAAAATCATGAATCCATCAACAAGTTCCGCCCGATAAGCCTGTGCAACGTGAGCTACAAGATCATAACTAAGCTACTTGCTAATAGAATAAAACATTCCCTGCCGCATATTATCAATGATGCTCAAGCCAGCTTTGTACCCAGAAGACAAATAACGGATAACGTGGTCCTTGTACGGGAGGCGATCCACACCATGGCTTCCAAGGTGGGCAAAAAAGGGTTCATGACGGTGAAAATTGACCTCGAAAAAGCCTACGACATGATTCGCTGGGATTTTATCGAGGACACATTACATCAAGCGGGCTTCCCGGATATTATTGTGCAAGGTATAATGAAGTGTATTACAACTCCCTCTATGCAAATTCAATGGAATGGAACGATCTTGGAAGAGTTCAACCCCACAAGAGGCATTCGTCAAGGAGATCCTATATCTCCATACATCTTTGTATTGTGCATTGAAAGGCTTGGTCATGCTATACTTAGAGAGGTGAATACTAGGGCATGGAAACCACTCAAGCTGGGAAAAGAGGAGTCGAGCTGCCGTATCTCATGTTTACAGATGACATTTTGCTATTCTTGAAAGCATCATCTGGCCAAGTAACTATGTTAAAAAAGGTGCTGGGAGGGTTCTGTAAGGCTTTCGGTATGAGGATTAGTGACCCAAAGACGATGGTATTCTTCTCCAAGAATGTGGAAAAACAATGGAGGTTCGAGATATCACGCTGCCTAGGTTTCTCCCAAGTTGAGAATCTGGGTAAGTACCTTAGAGTTCCAATTATCCCTGGTCGTGTTAAGTATGAAACATATGGCCACATAGTGGAGAAGGTGCACACATATCTGGCAGGGTAGAAACCTTCATCCCTCTCATTGGCGGGCAGGGTGGCTATGGTGAAATCAGTCCTTAGTACACTCCCTTACTACACTATGCAATCAGGTCTACTTCCAGCGAAAATTTGTTTGGAGGTAGAGCGCCTTTGTCGTAAATTTGTGTGGGGTGGTGATGATGAGAAGCAAAAAATAAGTTTAGTTAGATGGAAGGAAGTTTGTAAGCCCAAGGAATTGGGAGGGCTCGGTCTTAAAAAGCCCAAGGTTATGAATGAGGCCTTTGTTATGAAACTAGGCTGGAGCATATTGGAAAATCCAGAAGCCTTGTGGGTCAGAGCTTTCAGGAGTAAGTATGGGCTTTCTACAAACCCAGGCCCATCCGACATGGCTACTGGGTCCAAATCAAGAGTGTACAACTCTATCAGAAAGGTTTGGAAACCATTGCTAAAGGGAGTAAGATGGGTCTTAAATGATGGGAACCAGGTCCGCTTTTGGAAGGATTTATGGACATTGGGCCAGACTCCACTCTGTGACCTAGCTCTTGGCCCAATCCCGGCAGACCAACTAGAGTGGAAAACATGCAGATTTGTAACCCAACATGGCGGATGGAATTGGGATATGTTTGAGCGTCTCCTTCCAGCAACAGAATTAATGAAGATCGCCACCACGATGCCTCCGTCAATCTCACGCGGTAGGGATAGAAGATTATGGATTCCGGCTAAGGGAAACGATTTCTCAGTCACATCGGTGTACGAAATGGTGGAAGCTATTCCTCAAAGACCAGAATCACCAATTTGGAAAACGATTTGGGGATGGTTTGGGTCGGAAAGAGTTAAAACATGCCTTTGGTTGGTAGCAAAGGGGAAGTTGTTGACAAATCAGGAGAGATTTAGGCGTCACATGGATCACTCGCCGCTCTGCCAAGATGTGAGGTGGCTGAAGAATCGACGGAGCATGTGTTGAGGGATTGTCCCTTTTCCAAAATTATTTGGGACCGTTTTCTCGCAGATGAGAATAAGGCTGCTTTTTTTTGTTAGATAGACTAAAGGATGGATGCTAACAACTTGATGACTCCACAACCATCAACGGGGTCTAAGTGGTCTTGTACCTTTGGTATCATCTGTTGGATGATTTGGAACTGGTGGAATGAGATTGTGTTCTCTGACTCAAAACCGTCATGTACAAAAAAGCTCCGAGAGATCTCCAATAAAATCAGAGAGGTCAACGCAGCTATGAAAAATACAGGAAGAAAGGAGTCCTCTGGTGTTGGATTGGAACAAAAATTAATTGCCTGGATGCCGCCATTGGAGGGGTGGATGAAGTTAAACACGGATGGCGCCTATGATACGGTTACGGGCAATGCTACGGCAGGTGGACTGATTCGGGACCACTATGGCAATTGGAAGGGTGGTTCAATGCCTCTATTGGCTCCACATCCATAACAGGTGCAGAACTCTAGGGGCTGTATTATGGGCTTAAGTTGGCGTGGGAGATGGGGGCAAAAAGGTGGTTGTTGAGACTGATAGTAGAAGCGCCCTCCAGCTGATTAGCCAACGACGATCTCAACAGTCTGCTCATGAGAGCCTGATTTACAACATCAGGGACTTACTCAACAGGGAATGGAGTGTTCAATTAGACCATGTTTACCGGGAGGCAAACTTCACAGCGGGTTGCTTAGCCGGAATTGCTTCATCTGGCTGGGCTATACCTTTTTTAATGATCCACCACCTAGTGTTAAGCCATGGCTAATCCATGATGGGGTATCCCACCCCCGTCTTGTAATTGTTTGAAACTAGGCTTATGCCTCCTTCTATGCACCAAAAAAAAAAAGTAATTGACCGCTACAGTAAACCCTTATGTTGCACTTTTAACATTGGACCCAATGTAACTTAAAAAATTTATCGAGTTACAGTAAATAATTCAAAATTCAACTGTAACAGTCAAAGTAAAAAAAAAAAAAATCTTGGTTTTGCTTTTTCCTTTTTTTTTTTAAAAAAATGAATTTTGAATTATTTACTGTAACTCGGTAAATTTTTTAAGTTATAGTGGGTCCAAGGTTAAAAGTGTAACATAATTACCATTTAGGGTTTACTATAGCGGTCAGAGTAAAAAAAAATGGTTTGGCTTTTTTTTTTTTTAAGAAATTAGATTTTGAATTATTTACTGTAATTCGGTAAATTTTTTAAGTTACAGTGAGTCCAAGGTTAAAAGTGCAACATAATTACTATTTACTTTGACCTAAGATAAATGATAAACGAAAAAATTAATTTTGAAAATAATGTAAATTTTAAAATTTTATAATAATATTTTTAATTAATAAATAATATTTTAACAATTAAATAATAAATCTGAATTTTAAAATATTTTTAATGATTTAAATTTAAAATTTAAATCAAATTAAAACACAAAAATACTCCCGATTCCGGCATGTCAACAGCCAGAAATTGTGAAATGGGACCAAAAAAAGTGTGAAAACATAATGTTTGGACTACGATATTAAAATGTTAATGTAAGGGACGTAAATTCAAATAGGCCCAAAATGTAAGGGACCATTTAGACATTTTAGTCTTTGTTTGCTCATTGGATGTTTTGAGTATTGTAAACTAAAACTATCAATGAAATTCAGAGAGCTGTAACTATGGGTAGCTTGTGGTTTTGCAGTTTGTCTTTGTGAATTTTTGTGGTGAGGTAGTGATTACAGAAATCAACGGGCAAAACTTTCAGTTTGAGTGCTTTTTTTAAACAACTGATGAAATATTTTTCAATGTTTGAGCTAAATTCTTGCAAGGCATTCGCTTTACTCTCGATGGTTTTTTTTTTCTTTTTTCGAACTAATACGTACAAACGGTCATGATTTTGGTACGAAGAAAATATATCCTTGAAATTAAAATTGGTTCTATGTAAAAATATTTTTTTTTTAAACAGCAAACATATCTTTTAGAATTACGATAGAAGTTTGAAATTGAAATTTTTTGCTGGAAAGGCAAGAAAATGGAGAGAGCGAGTTTTGGCGGTTCAAAATGTCCAATCAACTCTGCAACAGATGTGACCTGAAAATTGAAATGACACCAAAAATCTTCTCAAGAAAGCCACTCACATTTATCCCCATTTTTTATATATAGAGTACTACAACCTTGTTTGGATATCAACTTATTTTACATTTCCACTCATTTACTTCTTAAATACAAAACTCAATAAAAAAGAAAACATTATCCAAATAACTTTCTGATTTACATTTTAAATTCTAATTTAAAACACTTTTGTTAGTATAATGACCATTTTAGAACTACAAATAGTTCAGTGACAAATTTGGCAGGATTCTGTTAGTGAGTGATTGTTTTTGGAAAAATTCTTTTTTGCAGTTACTATAATTGATAGTATTTAATTGTTTAGTGATGACTTGTACTTGATATTTCAAAATGTAGTTCAAAATATTTTTTTTTTTCAAAACTAACATCCAAACAACATTTTTATTTCTCATTTAGTTTTTAATTTGAAACACTTTCTACTTAGCAAAATGAAATGTAAGTTGACCTCTAAAACAAACACTACATTTCTCACCCTTACCCCCAAATTTTGCAAAAAAACCCCATTTTATGAGTAATAATCTCAGTACACTCAAACCGATATTTATTTGCTACTTCTTCATTGTTGTTCTGTGTCAGGAGGACCCTTTTTGTGTTTCCATGGCTGACAGCGATAGCCTGAGCGATGCCGGTAGGTTAAATTCATTCACTTTTTACCTAAGATAATATTTCTTCTTCATTATTGTAAAGGGTTGATTTGCGGGAAATTCCCAATCCGAACTGTTCTTTTTTTTTTTCCTTATTTAATCTTTGTGAATGGTTAAGCTTTTACTAGTAAGAAACATGGCTGTTAACATATTTTCTTATGAAATAACGAGGATTGGGACTTAACGACTATCTGTCTCTATCTGTGCATTCTGAGCGAGGAGAGAACGATCTGGATCTCTGTAATAAAAATTGGGATGGCCAAGAGGTACTTGTAAAAATTTAAAGCTTTATACAATTCAATTTCATGGTTGGGGTCATCAAACTGATGGGAAGTGAGTCTAATGCTGTGTCATTTTCTATTTTTTTTTTTTTTTTTGTCTGGCAAATTTGTGTGTAGATGGAAGTGGATGATTCTTATGACTCAGAAGAGGAAGAAGGCTACAGAATGCTGGGGAAAATTTTGGAGGGGCAAAATGTGCCATACATTGATAAATCAAGCAAAGAGTCGCTGTGGGATTTGATGGCACTTCAAATGGATGTAATGCTTGAGAAAAGAAAACGACTTGCCGAAAAACCCTGCAGATTTTGCAGGAATTCAAAGCTTCCTGGTGAAGGCTGGTTGAATGAAATACTCCGTGGCCGCTAAGCTGATTTGTTGCGAAGATCTATGATGAAAGCCCCTACATTCATGAGACTTTGTGAGGTATTAAGACAAGGCAATCACATTGCAGAGGACCCTGTTGTAGATGTCTCTTCAGGAGGCTGTCGCTTTGTTTCTAGTGATGATGAGCAGCGATGAACGAGTTTGTGGCCTAGCCGATAGGGTTCACCGGTTCAGTACTCGCCAGAGACAATTTACCGCAACATTCTTCGTACTGCACGGTCTATTCGTGATTTCAGCCGGGCCATTGTGTCAACAAGGCCTCAACAACAACAACAAGGTGGACATGGTAAAATACTTAACAATGCTGAACTGTATCCATGGTTCAAGGTATTACTATTATTGTTTTTATTTCTTTTCTGTTTCCTTTCAGTTTTAGGAGTTACATTGAAACTGAGTCCTTTTGGGTTAACCACTTTGTATTAGGACTGCATTGGGGCAGTAGATTGTAAACACATGCCTGTGTGGCTGCCAGTGAAAAATCGAGAGCTGTTTTGGAACAGGCAGGAGAAGCTTTCCCATAATGTCATGTTTGCATGTGATCTTGACATGAGATTTGTACATGTATTTGCAGAAAGGGATGGTGGTTACCCCGATAGTTGGATACTTGCTGGTGCTCTAGGTACAGGAGGTTTCTCAGTCCCAAGTCAGGGGACATACTATGTGGTTGACAAAATGTTTCAAAACAGGCCTCGATTCTTGGCTCCTTTTCGAGGGATTCGATACCATGAAAGAGAATTTAGGGGTCAGGCCGGAGCTCCGGCTTGCGTAGAGGAGCTGTTCAATCAGAGGCATTGTTCGCTGAGGAATGTCATTGAGAAATGTCTCAAAGTCTTCAAGGGACGTTTCCATTTCCTCAGTGAGCCAATGCAAGAGTTTCGTGTAAGGCATCAGGCCGATTTTTTGATCGCTTGTTGCGCGCTGCACAATTTCATCAGGGAAAACGATCCTGAAGATGAGCTTTTTGCCAAGTTTGATGGTGTTAATATAGAATGTGAACCACCAGTTCGCAACCATGTCTTCCAGGAGGCGGATCAAGGTGCCAAGCTCTCAAACGATCAATGGAATGATTGGCGAGCCTTGTTAGCCAACCAAATGTGGAACGCGGAGATGGCCGGAGCCGGTTGTTAGTTCATAGGGTTGGTAGCTGTTTTGTGTGCTGAAACAGTCAATCCCGGAAACTTGGAAGGTGGAAAGTACTAGCTAGTACTCTTTTGTAGCTTTTGTGAATTGCCCGGTAGGCTGGCATTGCAGGAATTTGCAAGTCTTTTTGGGTTAGATTAGAGGCAAATCAGAAGTTTTGCTTCCACTATAAAAATCTCTAAGCACAGATATTACCAATTTCAATGTGTTTTTTCTCCGAAACCAGACATTTGAAAAGCTTCCTAGCTCAACCTGCACATAGGAATGTTAGATGGTTTGAGGTGATAATGTACATTTGGTGACAAAAGCAGAAAGCCGCAAGAATCTGTAACAATGGCAAAAGAGACATGAAAAATCAGCCATTCAATTAGGTCAATAGAAGACATCCATGAAACGATTATAAAAGTTTATTTTTTTTTCTAATTTCAACAAAATAAATCATATCAAACGAAGTTAATATATGTTGGCTATGTGCTTCAAATATCCGAGATGAAATTTGCAGACTTTATGCACGATAAAGGGTCAAGGTATATTCAATCGTATTTTAATTCATAATCGACAACTGTTAAAATATTGATCCGGTATAATCAAAATAATTAATCGACTCAATGAGGTGTGCAATACTTTATCGTCCTAGTTCATTTGGAGTTTAAAACAAAGAATACATTTTAAGAGAATTAATTCGTGAATGGCTCGTCAAGAGGAGGAATTAAGCCAATGGTTTTGATAAATGCAGGGTAATTTGTTCACTGGATTTCCGTTGGCGCCAAATTAATTAAAGATCCCAACTGTATATTTTCTGCCGACACACATGTGACAACTGTTAAAAGATTACTCCCTCTTCTTCCCATCCTTTTCCTTTCCTCATCTTGATTATTAATTAGTACATAAAATCTTCCTTTTCACATTCCCGATTTCCCCTCCAAATTCCTCTCACAAAAACCATCCTTTTCTTTGGACTTCCTTGACTCTTTTTCCTCACACCAGTCATATTTTTCTTTCTTCTTTTTCCACTTCCTTTGGGTTCCTGTCCCAGATCTACAACCTTCTAAAATCCCTTCAAGAAAGGTATCGATTTCTCTTCTCTTTCAACTTGGTTTTAGTGTTTAAGTTGAGGGATTTTTGAATGAATGTGATTTTCGGTGAAAAGATTTGATTTTGATTTGTTCTCTTTTGTGGGTTTTTGCCAGAATTGGATCTCGGACTCAGAATGTCGACATTGGTGGCAGAAATGAGTTTAAACGGCGGAGAACAGGTAAAGAAATCTTCGAACCCTTCTGGTGTTGTTGAATCTGAAAATTCGATTCCCAAGAATTTGAGCAATGGGAATTCTGTTAATGGCCAGAATGGTTTGCATTCGAATCCATTTAAGATTTTTATTGGGTATGATCCGCGTGAGGATGTTGCATATGAAGTTTGTAAGCACTCATTGTTGAAAAGATCTTCCATCCCTCTTGAGATCACGCCTATTAAGCAATCTGAATTGAGGGAGAAGGGTGTTTACTGGCGGGAAAGGGGGAAGTTGGAGAGTACCGAGTTTTCGTTTTCGAGGTTTTTGACTCCGCATTTAGCTGGTTATGAGGGTTGGGCCATGTTTGTGGATTGTGATTTTCTGTATCTTGGTGATTTTAAGGAGTTAACTGATTTGATTGATGATAGATTTGCAATTATGTGTGTGCAACATGATTACACCCCCAAGGAAAAGACTAAAATGGATGGAGCTGTGCAGACTGTTTATCCGAGGAAGAATTGGTCTTCAATGGTTTTGTACAATTGTGGGCATCCCAAAAATAAAGTGTTAACTCCTGAGTTGGTGAATTCTGAGTCTGGAGCGTTTTTACATAGGTTTCAGTGGTTGGATGATGATGAAATCGGGGAGATTCCGTTTGTTTGGAATTTCCTTGTGGGACACAATAAGGTTGTTGAGGAAGATCCTACCACATTCCCTAAGGCCATACATTATACACTAGGAGGACCATGGTTTGAGGCATGGAAGGATTGTGAGTTTGGAGACTTATGGTTGAAGGAGCTTGAAGACTACAAAGAGGCAAAGGAGCAAAAGGCTGATTAACTGATATTCATTCCCACCCCAGGAGTTTGTTTTTTAATTAATTTATACGCAAATTTGTGGTTCCAGAAATTCATTGCATTCATTTGATGCATCTATTACTGTTGTATGTTAATGGAATTCTATAGATAGTTGAGGAACGGAGTGGAGCTGTAGTGTATTCTAGTTTTATTCAATGCAGGCGTATGCATTTGTCTTGTCACTCTCGCCCAAATGGATTCAGTGGTCTAATGAGTTGTAGCTGGGGTATTAACAATATTAGTTCTTGGTTTGCTCAGAGAGAATAGATACATGTCTTTGTTCACCCATTCGCTTATCAATAGCATTGTGGGATGAATATAGCTTAGGACAATCACTACTGCAGCACCATCATAGCTTTTTTTGATGGAGTTTGGTTGATGATCATCCCCTAAGTGTGTTACTATGGAATATATGGCTTTACAGTTCTGATGGAATATGTGCAGGAAGTGTAGTGCAGCCACAGTCTCCGGTCATATTTGTTTGCAAAAGATTGGTTTACTGGAGCAAAATAGAAATCAAGTTGGAGGTCAAAGTTTACAGTGCAGAAGTGTCTTGTAGAAAAGTCATGATACATTTACAGTTATTTCATTGTACTTATTTTACAATTGCTCTTTATACCATTATGAGCAGCAGTGAAAAGTTATAGCAAGATTCAATTTGATTATTTTTGTTCTTTGGATGACACTGTTCTCTGTTATTGTGAGTGAAATAAATTTGTCCAGTAATTCTTTCAGACTTTAGGACATTATTCGTCTGGAGTTTTCCGTTTGCATATCCTCTTTGAAATACTCACATTAGGTGTAAAGTTCTTCCGAGAGAGGTTATCAGCCGATCTCAGAGATAGCATACAGAAACATACGTTGAATAAAACTTCAGTTTGGTGAACGGAATTTCGTCATAGCAGAAACAACATTCATTTTGCTGCTCTCTGCACAAGACGTTAGTGGTAGAGATACAATGGCATCTGCCATTTCGGAGGACGCTCTTCGCTTCAATTGTCCTGATTGTCTCTACTAATTTCATCTTCAGATGCATACTACTCAAACTTAGTTTACTTTGTGCCAATAGGAATGCAATCAATGACATGCTACCTTTTAGTTTGGCAGAAGGGTAGCTAAGAACACTAGACATGCAAAAAAATGACACAAAAACCACAGTAGCATTACGAAGTAATATAAGAAACTTTCAAGTACCAGAAGTGAAATTCAGTACTAGAACCAAAATTCATTCGTTCCAAAGACACAACCTCCAAAGGATATACAACTTTAACCTCCATGATGGAATTGCATTGTCAATTTTGAGACCTAATCATATGCTATGCGAACTGTGTATAGTTACATAGATCAAAAGCATATGTACAGCTATTAACATGCCTCCTGTCTGTACCAACCATTTACCTGAAAATGTATACAGAAAGCAAGGATTAGACAACCAATAAAATGAGAAACCAAAACCAGACATGTATGAAGAAGAGAAAGGCATCACTAACCTTGTGCAAACAGAAACCACATCAGCCTTTAATGAAGAAGTCTCTAGAAACTCATCACCACATTCATTCACATCAACCTCCTTCATCTGGAAATCACGAAGACCTTGATACCTGTTCCACTCAAACCACATCTTTGAAATGCACTCCTTTTTGAAGCTAGTCAAATTATCTTCCTCCTCCGGAGAGCCAGATGCAACTAACCTGTAGGTGTATACTTTCTTTGTTTGCCCAGGTCGAAATGCACGCCCAATAGCCTGGCGCGTAACTGAAGGGTTTAAATGTACATCCAGTATAATGACTCGTGAAGCCCCTACAAGGGATATCCCTTCTCCACAAGCTTTGATTGATCCAAAGAAGACTTTAGCATCTGAAGAAGTATTAAAACGCTCCATTGAAGAGTCCCGAATGTGAGACTCGGAGTCACCTGTGATCACAAAGATTTCCTTGCCAACACTGTAATTTTTAACCTTCACGGTCAATCTCTCCAACAATTTCATGGAAGCAAGATACTGGCCAAAGACCAGGAGTTTTTCACCTCTGGATTCACACAGCTGGAGGAGAGTCAGATAGAATCTAGCTTTCACTCCCAACTCCTTCAAATCCTCCAGTATGAAGTCAATCTTCTCCACATCAAGCTTACCACTCCCTACAGACTGTTTCGGTCTTGTGCTCAGACCTGGATGTACATAAATGTGACTTCCATCTGAGATTATCTTGAACCTTTCTTTACATTTCTTTAGCTTTTCAAGTTCTGCTTGTTGCTTCCCTGTGAGTTTAAGGAATACAGTGAAGTCAACCAGTCCAGGTAGTTCATCTAAGGAGTCACCCCTATAGTAATGAAGAACTTTGCTTGTCATCTCCCGGAGATCATGTATTATATTAACCTTCTTGTTGGAATTTATGTCATCAACAATTGTTTGCTCCACCAGGTCATAGAAGTGAGCGTCTGACACGCTTCGGCCTGATATTTGAACTTTACTTAAGATGCGCCTTTTTACGGAACTGTGAGGTTCTGTTTCTAGAAATTTTGGGCGAACAAGGTTCAGAACATTGAAGACTTCCTTGACATGATTCTGATAAAGTGTGCCAGAAAGAACGACTTTTCTAGGTGTCTCGACCCTTTCTAGGGACTTTAAAACCTCTGTTTTTTCATTTCTGGGAGTGTGGCCTTCATCCATTATAAGAATGGAGGGACACTTTAATAAAAAGTCCTGACAGGTTTGGGTAGTTGTACTCCAATCAATGTCGCATACAATTGCAGTAAACTGTTGGTAGCCCAGGAATAAAATGCTTCTTTCATGTGCCCATCTTCTTAAAACTTCAAGCTGCTGGCTTCTACCTTCGGCTTTAGATGAGTAGAAATCATACAGTGGAAAGTCTTCCACTTGCCATCTCTGGAATTCTTTCTTCCACGTTGACAAGAGACCCTTTGGTAGCACAATCAGTGGTTTAGCAGAAGGATATTTAGCCATAAAGCTCTGAAGAAAACTAATGATCATAAAAGTTTTCCCGGATCCAGGTGCATGTGCCATTACACAACCCCCGGGATGCTTAGTCATCAAGTTGCTTGCAAGAAAGTTGAATCCCTCCCATTGATGGGGTTTCATTGACTTTTGATGCCGTGGATGTGCAGCAACATCAGACAGAGAGCAGTCATGTTCACCTTGATTTATGTCATCAGGCATAATATCTGTGAGATCTGAGGCCTTTCCCAAAGGACGTTCACGCTTATAAGTTCTTCCCCTTCTTTTTGCCTAATTCAGGGAATGAACAGTGAGAAAATACTATCTAAAGAAATAGATATGAATATCAGGATGCAGCAACACTACGATGCAAGGAATAATAGACTTTATGACACAGAAGGGACAGAAAATGAGCCAATTAACATCCAGAACCACTTTAGAAAAACACATTCACATCCATAAGGGAAATGCAACCACAAAAAATCATGTGAACATCAATGTAAGAAATGTTACATCATGTTATATCCTAATATAAAAATTTACAGAAACCTATAATTTGAGTTATAATCTTAATGCATCTTTATATAATATATTACAAACATACGTAGGATGAAGTTATTCAGTTATCTGTTCATGTATTTTCATCTGTATACGTACTGCATAAACATGCTTTTCATTCACATGTAAAACCACTTAATGGCAGCAGGACGCTTCCACTACATGAAGCTACTTCTCAGCAAATAACCATCTGATAGGGTTGGCACGTAATATAAGAGATAAGACAAACTAAAAAAAATCAATAAAAGGTCGATCGGATCAAATTCAAACCTTTTCAAATTGATACTCAATGATTGTTTCAATAGCTTTATCAATGAGTCCACAGACACGACAGACAGAACCTATGTCTTCTTTGAAGATGAATTGATGATTACAGTCTGGGACATCCGCATTGGTGCATTTGTCAGAAAAAGAATCCACAAAAGCATCCTGAACATCAGTGCAAAAATGATTGTTAGGGATTTTTGACATGGACGACAACCAAAAAAGAGAAAACCATGTGGATAAACTAATTAAAAGTGGTTGCAATTTATGAAAGAATTGATGAGATACTCCTCCAGTTCTTGTCAACTCAAAAACCTTTCCGGTTTAGTCATAAGTCACATTCCCCCCATCCCTGACATCAATAGGCAGAGATCTTATTCTTGACATAAATGTGATTGACCTAGATGAGTTTAATTTAAGGCTTAGAAAACATTTTTAAAACCAAAAAGGAAAAAATTAAAAAAAAAAAACATGAAAGTAGTTCTTAAATCTGCTTCAGTTTGTTATCTATATTAAGAAGATATTTGACCAAACAACACAATAGTCCCATGTTTCTGCGACATGCCTCCGTATTTAAAAAGCCAAAAGCTAGTCTTGGAACAAGAGAGTATCAGAATCAAGACACTACCCAACTTCTGAAAGACAGCTAAAGAATGTGAAAGGTGAGACTGAAGTACCTTAGAACATTCTAAGGCAAATGACATCTCATTCCAAATATCCAAACCACCATTACCAGAATCAAATTTTTCAATGGATTCCTCAAAATCTTCATCATCCTCCACCCCTATATACACACCTTTGTCCTTTTCATCTTCAGAAGACTTAGCTACTTCATTAGAATTGACTTTATTCTGCTCCTCTTCCACCAATTTTTTTCCGAACTCTCTTTCCATATTTCCACTTTTATGTTTCTTCAGAGCAGTTTGCCCAGCAATGTCTGCATCATCCTCCACCCCAACACAAACACCATTGTCCTTTTCATCTTCAGTAGACTTGGCTACCTCATTAGAACTGGCTTTAGTCTGCTTCTTGGCTACCACCAATTCTTTTCTGAACTCTCCTTCCAAATTTACGCTTTCATGTTTCTTCACAGCAGTTTCCCCAGCGAAGTCTGCATCATGCTCCACTCTGACATACACACCTTGGTCCTTTTCATCTTCAAAAGAATTTTGTTTACTTCGCACCTTGGGTGCCACCATTTTTTTTCCGAACTCTCCTTTTTGATGCTTCACTCTGTCTTCATGTTTTTTCACTTCAGTTTCTCCAACATGGCAGAACTTCTCTTCTTTTGATCTTAGCACACCAGCACAGCCTAGATTCTACAACATAAAAACAAGAGCACAAAATGTTAGGGAAAGTTAAGTGATACTTGGGATAGTGAGTTCAGTTAAAAGAGCTTTAAACATAAAGTAGCAAGAAACAAAATGCACCAGCTGAAGATGCTTCATCATCAAAGAAATGTCGAGGGAACTTGTGAAGTAACAAAGAAACTATGAAGTAACAACGGAACAGTCACTCAAACTATGAAGTAACAAAGAAACTTAACTGTCACCTCATCATGCACATTAAAGAACTGACAGCAACCCTTTCCAGCATTATCTGTCCTATGAAGTGGTTCAACAGGCAGGCAAAATTCTACTCCATCCAGAATCTGGTCCTCAGCACAATCAAGAACCTTAATTACATAGAAACAACAATGTCAATGTTTTGCGGGTTGGAAAGTGGAACCTTGAGAAGAAATGAGATTCAATAAGATGCAGTTAGACATGTGAATTTGTAATAAATTGAGGGATAAAAGGCTGTTAATTTATTCACTACATAGCACCAAGAAGTGATTGAAACACTTCAGGCACTTAACTATCACTTCATCATCTAAGTGGATGGCTTGATTTTTAGTTTGACAACCATATCTACGTTTCCCTTCTCTTTTCCCCAGCTTTCCAGCACAATCTTGATCCTACAAAGTGGAAAGGATAACATTTAGAGTTTGAGACAAAGGAGAAGCGACTAATGGATAAATAGTCCAACTGCAATAATAGAAAAAACACCTCATGAAATATTGACCGGGAAGGCAACATAAGAATACAAGGTATATATAGAAAAATAGTTAAGTTATTCAATGGCAAGGCTGTAACATTTTCAGTATAGAAGCCTTATAACAACAAAATGTTTCTAACAAGTTCCAAGCTTCATAAAAACTACTTTTCATGAACTTTTCTCCATAAAAAAAACTGCTCTTTTCTTAAAACCGAGAAAGTAGACATAATTTATGATAATAAGTCACTATCTCATTACTAAGATGTAATCATCTTCTCAACCCTCGTACATAAGTTATTCCGTCACGGAAGCTTTGTGCGAAGGAAATATGAAGAGGAAATAACCATCATAACTCAAGCCTAAATTGGTTTTAATTGACTTCTGGGGACATTTTAGGCATTTCAAATTCCCTTCACGAGTATGCAATGTATGGAGCACCATTTACGCTGAACTTGCATGATAGCATCCAGAGGAACAGTTCAGAGGCAAGCAACGGATACACGTTTAAAATGGAAAGTTATAAATGAACCGGCGTGCTTGAACTGCTTCTTAAAAAGAGATAATTATTGGCATAATTCACATATTTAGATCATTACATGAACAAGAGTAATTAACTTATTGGAATAGAGCATGTTATATCTTCCAAAAGAAATGATGGGAATGCTTTAATTAGAACAAATATTAATCAAATTTTACCTAACAATTAAACAAAGAATGACTCTTGACAACTTAAAGCATTAAGTATTTTCTGAGTTGATTGCCTTCACAGAAGAGAATGATGCTCGTAAAGTGCACAAAGAAAAAGTAATTACAATCATAAAGCATTAAGTATTAGCTTTTGAAGATTCATCAGTCACAATATGGAAAAGCATGCCTTATGATGTGAGTGATGACTGAACACTTTGTTATAGTTTGTGCAGAAGACCCTCCTACCTTCATCGATATATATTCCACAACTACTCATACTAATTAAATGGAAAAACAAATAATGTACCTCCAAATCCCTTTTGGAAGGGTAATAAGCTGCCTCCCTTACATCAATTATCTTCACTTCCTTCTCATCATCCAGATCTTCATACTCCTCCAAACCAATCACGATTGCTGGCCTTGATGACATTTTTCCAGACGGTACAGAATGAGCAGTTGTACCATTTTTTCCTGCTTTACCAGAATGAGCTGTTGCACATTTTTCAGGAAGTTCATTATTATCTTCCAAATCAATAAGGTCAGGAAGACCACAATTTGACTTCACATTTCCTTTCCTGGGAGCACCTTGTTCATTCTCTGAATGATTTTGAGATGTCAAGAAACTGCTTAATTTCCTCTTTCTAGCAAAGATCTTCTCTATGTCTGGTGTGACACTTCCATATTTGCCCGAACTAGGACTATTTTCAACATCCGAATGATTACTTGTGGCCTTAGCCTTTTCTGAAAGGACATCTTGTAATGATTGTTCTCCTGAGGAGACCAAATCCCCTGTATCCTTCTTCATTTTTTCATAGTTTTCCGAATCCAAAGGATGTTCCAAGTTTTCCACGGAAGATATGCTGGTCTGACCAACGCAGACTTCTTTTGGACAGATCTTTAGCCCCCTAAACGCAAAGTAATCGCACCAACAGGGAGAAGAGGTTGAAAGCGCCAAATTTTCTTCTCCGTCAGCTTTTCTCCTTTTTTTCTCTCTAGAAGTTGAATCTGTTGAAAGATTGGCAAGGCTGGGAAAAATAAGAAATTGTACGTATCTCAACAGGAAAGAATGCAAACTGTAATAAACATTTTAACATGACCATGTCAAAAGCATGATGGCTTTCAACGTGTATCAAAGAGCAGATGTCTCTGCAACTTTGCTATACTAGCTAAATGCAACAACTCAAAGATGCAATCGAAACAAAAGCCCAACAAAAAGAGCAGGTCCAACACACAATCCACATGCACCCATCAAATATGAACTGAACACCATATAAAATACAGTTGACAAGTCAGAGGAACATCACATTTTGGAAGCAATCAAATGGCTCGGCATTTCAATTTTTGAAACTAATGCACATTTTGAAACTAATGATAAGAAGTCTAGAATGACTCTTGCTTACTTCCATTACCATTTTGCCTGGATCAGACAAACGACCAATGCAAACACAGACCAAATTATCTGTGTCTTAAACCCTTCACTTTGTTCTGCTCTATAAAGTCTAACATGTTAAGCATAGTCCCAAAAAATAAAAAATAAAAAAAAAACATGTTAAGCGTAGTCATATGATCCCAACTGCAAAGAGTAGTTGAAATTCAAATAACATCAATCTTCTACCAGATAAACATGGTTAACGCAAATCGTTCACAAATTAATTAGCATAGCCCAAATATGACAAAAAGAATGCATTTATTAACCGTGCCACCATTAATGAACATCTTCCACTTCAACTGCAAAATTTGTTCGGAACCCAGTCTTAATACTAAAGCAAAACCAGAGTAAATTCATACATTCAGCAATAAAGGAGAGAGATAAAGAGTGTACCCATTCTGGGGTAAGCTAAAGATTTCACTTTTTTCTTCAACACGGTTGATGTTAATGCTTTCTAAACCTTGAGATATCAACGCCTTAGCGACCCAAGAAGCTGAATTCCAAAGTAAAAAGAGAAGATTGAGGAAATGGGTTATTTTTATATCGTACAAGATCAACGTGGTACTAATGTGATGGATGTTGCACAACCCAAACTTCAAAAAAAATTACCAAAAAAAGACAACTAAATTATAAAAAAATTATCTATTTGATGATCTTCAGATGGGTTGAACAAAATAAAAGGTGGGTTCTTTTTGTTACATTAAAATAATCAATGCATGCATGGTGAGTGGTGACACACAATTTTTACTGGACGTTCATACTCTGGAGTGGCAGCAGAGCTTGTAAAGGGGAGAAAAAATAAAGTGATTCTTTTGTAATGAATGAAAACCAACCAAAAAATAAAAAATAAAAAAGTTTTTGAAATTCACCTGAAGGCAAAGAACAACTTTTTACACAAAAGGGGCGAAGAAAAAGAGCTCCAATGGCGAAATGAAGAAAAATGGAGCAGAGCAGGAGACGAAAAGTTGGGAAAATGTGTAATAGCCAATATCAGTCTACTGGTTTTTCGCTTTTGACAGGGGAGCTTGCAAAGCGTGTCATAGACCCTTTTGTCCTTTTCAATTCCTATTCAGGGAAAATTTTGAACAAATAATTGAGAAAGAGAAATGGACTACGTCCTTTTCTTCAACGTTTCCAACAGAAACAAAAAGGGAAAAAAATCTCTGTAATCTAATTGGCATTGAATGGTTTAATTAATGACTTATTACCGTAATCTCAATGTCTACTCCTCCTCAATGCTAGCCAGTCTCTTTTACTGTGTTTGTAACATTTTCTAATTAAAGAAAGATATCTTTTAACATAGAAAGATATCTTGAAAATGTATAAAGATCGACTAAAATTTAAAGAAAATAATGGAAAAACACAATGATGTAGCCAAATTATTGTTGGTTTGTTAGCTTTTTAACTATATTTTGCAGTAAAACCAAACATGTACCAATCAACATTTATTTTTTTTTAGGAATATTCAATCAAACGACCTACTTTAATATGATTTTCGGTATAATGTGGGCCTCAATCATGTAATAGTTGTACATGTCTTAAATAGGTTAAAAGTGGGCCACAAGACTTAATTTAAATGGACAAATTTCAGTACTACTATATTTTTAAATTAAAAATTCACTAACTATAAATATTTGACTATTTGTCCCCTTCATTGAGATGCCTACTTTTAGACCCCTAAATCCTTAGTCCGCATTTCACACGTAGCCAGCATGCATGTGATGCGGGAAATCAAGTGCCAGGTGGTGCTGGTTCCTTGTTTTGTCAGATTAGCTCTTGAGTTGGGCTGGAACGAAACAATGTTGCGGGATTTTGTGGCATCGGCTTGCTGGTTACCGAGTTTTGAGAAACCGGCATGTGGAATCTCGAGAAAGGCTGGGACTTTATGGGAATTCAGTCAGGTGACACGGACATTGTGGGGAAAAAAAAAATCTTGGTATATGGCTAACCGGACTGTTGCTGGGTGCAGTCCCGGGTTTTCAGCGTGGCTGCCAGAGAACGTGACCGAGCTTTCTCGGTAAGGGTGACCCGGGCGGTTACCGGCGGTTATCTTTTTGTATGCTGGCGTTGTATCCATGTTTTCTATATTTCTTTGGCAATTATAACTGCCGTCCCATGTGTATATCTCGGATTTGGCTTAGCCAGCAACCCATATGAGAGATTTGGGGAATTGTGCCGTGCAAGTCTTGGTGTATTTCCTTATATTGCGAATTTATAATACGAGGTTGGGTTTTTACCTGTAAATTCTATTGCCTACTTGCCTTTTACATTCATGCACGGTTTCTATTACTTATAAAGTGAGTTGTGAGTGTTGGATCGAGTCATTCTCTGCCTTGTTCTTACTGGGAATCCATAGACGGTTAACGGAGGTGTAACAAGTTGGTATCAGAGCCCGTTTTTGTTTTCTGTTGTGTTGCTCTATTGGTATCGGTTGGTTTCCTGCCGTGTTTCATCATAGTAAACACGCAAGGAACTGTCACAGAATGGGTTGGGCACTTGGAAACGGTCATTGAAGGTATTGAACGGATAATTGGGACTGATGATCAAAGTCTTAGTTTATACCGGATGATTACCAACCGCCAAAGTTCGATTGAAGGTGTGTCGGCTAAAGTTGCGGATCTGGAGAAGTTGGTCCGGAATCAACTTCGACTTCTTCTACCTATGCTACAGTGGATATTGCTGTTGAGTCCCTTAAGACGGATGTTGCTGCTTTGACCCGTAGTTTGGATGTCAGGGTGTCAAGGGCCGAAGTTGAAGAAGAATTTGCTGTTCTTCAGACTTCGGTTGACGATGTGGCTTTCTTGAAGCGGGCTTTGGCCTCTTCTTCACCTTCCTCGGGTGGGAATGATCAGTTTCAGGGTGAGAACTTTAAAGTGCCGGAACCCAAGACCTTTGGTGGGGCTCGTAGTTCCAAGTAGTTAGAGAATTTTCTATGGGACATGGAGCAGTATTTTAAGACCACAAAGGTTATGACGGAACAAGTGAAAGTTGATGTTGCTGCGATGTATCTTTTTGGGGATGCAAAGCAGTAGTGGCAAACTCGGTGTGAAGACGAGTCTGCTGCTAAGATTTGGAACGTGGGCTGACATGAAACGTAAGTTGAAGACTCAGTTTCTTCCTACTAATGTGTCATGGGTTGCCAGAGAGTCCCTTCGAAAGTTGAAGCAGTCTGGATCTGTCTGTGATTATGTGAGGGAATTCAATTCTTTGTTGCTGGATGTCAAGGACATGTCGGAACAAGATAAGCTCTTCAATTTTGTGCAGGGCTTGCAGAGTTGGGCTCGGATGGAGTTGAATCGGCAAGAGGTGCAGAATTTGTCCCAAGCCGTTGCTGCTGCCGAGAAGTTGGTGGACTATAAGACTTCGTCCAGTTCTGCAGGCAACCAGAAGCAAACTAAGAAGGATAAAGGGAACAAAGATGGGAAGTCCTATCAGAAGGGTAAGAAGAAGGCCGTGGCTGCGAGTAAGACCGTTTCATCGGATGGAAAATCTGAGAAGAAGAGGGGATGCTTTACGTGTGACGGTCCTCACCTTGCTCGTGATTGTCCTCACAAGGAGTAGGTGAATGCGATCATTGCAAGTCAAGGTAATGATTCTGATTGTGAAGTCCTTTCCTGTGTTAATCCTTTGCAATTGTTGTGTGCTATTAGTGGGATTAGACCCCCCGCTGTTCAGAATTCATTAAATATAAAAGGTTGTGTTAACGGCCTTGAAGTGTTGCCTATGTGTGATTCTGGTGCGACTCATAGTTTCATGACCGAGCGCGAGGCGAATCGGTTGAAGCTGAAGATTGAGAGCCATAATAGTAAAATCAAAACGGTTAACGCTGAGGCGGAGGCCGTTCTTGGTCGTGTGAATTTTAATATAACTATTGATGGCTGGACTGGTTTGCGTAATGTCATGGTTGTGAGAAGCCTTGACGATTTTGACATCATTCTTGGGAAGGAGTGGATGTATGTGAACAAAGCCTTCCCTATTCCACATTTGGACAGAGTCATGATCGCTGATGAGAAGTGTCCCATGTTTGTGAAATGTTCAAGTGGTGGAAAGAAGTTGGGTGGTAATAAGGGTAAGGGAATCATGTCGGCAATGCAAGTGGAAATGGGCTTGAAGCGAGGTAAACAAACTTTCTTGGCCGTGCTGATTGAAGTGAAACTGGATGTGTTCCAGGGTGTTCCTCAGTCGGTAGCTAATTTACTTGATGAATTTGCTGATGTGATGCCACCAGAATTACCCAAGAAGTTGCCTCCTCGACGGGCAACAGATCATCGCATTGAGTTGGTCCCTGGAGCTAGACCACCGGCACAAGCTCCTTATCGGATGTCCCCTCCTGAACTTGTTAAATTGAGGCGCCAGTTAGATGAATTGCTGGAAGGTGGGTTGATGAAATCGTCTAAAGCTTCTTATGGTGCCCCTGCTTTATTTCAGAAGAAGGCAGACGGTTCGTTGAGATTTTGTGTGGATTATAGGGTGCTGAATAAGATCACCATCAAGAACAAGTATCCGGTTCCAAATGCCTATGACTTGTTTGATCGGTTGGTTAAGCACCGGATCTTCACAAAGATCGACCTACGGGCGGGATATTGGCAAGTTCGGATTGCAGGGGGTGATGAGGAGAAAACTACTGTGGTAACCAAGTATGGTTCCTTTGAGTTCCTTGTGATTCCATTTGGTTTAATGAATGCTCCTGCCACGTTTTGTAATTTGATGAATGATGTGTTGTATGAGTTCTTGGACCAGTTTGTTGTTGTTTATCTTGATGACATTGTTGTCTATTCGAAGTCCCTTGAAGGCCATCTCTTGCACTTGAGAAGATGTTTGTGAAGCTGAGGGAGAATGAGTTGTATGTTAAAAAGGAGAAGTGTGAATTTTGCATGAAGCAAATTACTTTTTTCTTGGACACATCCTCAGTGAAGGAAAGATTCGGATGGACCGAAAGAAAGTTGAGGTTGTTGTTGATTGGCCAGCCCTACAAAAGTTCCTGAGTTGAGATCATTTCTTGGTTTGGGAAATTACTATCGTCGGTTTATCAAGGGCTATTCGAAGCTGGTAGCTCCTTTGACGGATTCGCTGAAAAAGAGTGTTGCTTGGGAGTGGCATGCGGGCTGCGAAGAAGCTTTTCAAGTTGTGAAGGATGCCATTGCAACTGAGCCCGTGTTATATTTGCCGGATTTTAGTTTGCCGTTACACACTGATATTTCAGATCATGCATTGGGGGAGTCTTGGTCCAGAACAAGCATCCCGTTGCTTTTGAAAGCCGGAAACTGAAAGCTTGTGAGAGGCGATACACTACTCATGAGAAGGAGATGACTGTAGTAGTGCATTGTCTTGAAATCTGGAAGCATTACTTGATGGGAACCAAGTTTACAGTGGTGACGGATAATGTGGCAAATACATATTTCAAGACCCAGAAGAAGCTGACTCCAAAACAAACTAGATGGCAAGAATTCCTGGCAGAGTTTGATTTTGATTGGCAGCATAAGCCGGGACGAGATAATGCTGTTGCGGATGCTTTGAGTTGGAAACTTGTGGGGAGTATGTGGCCTCTATGACCATTGTTGTTTCAGATTTCATGGAGTTGATTCGGGTGGAGTCCCTAAATGATCTTGTCTATGTAAAATTGAAGGATCAAATTGAAAAAGGCACGGTTAGACGGTACTGGTTGGAAGACGGGTTACTTTATGCTAAAGGTAGCCGGGTTTATGTACCAAGTGCTGGGAAATTGAGACAGCTGTTGCTACGAGAGACTCATGATGCAAAGTGGGCTGGTCATCCAGGAGTTGAAAGAATGAGGGCTTTGCTATCTCGCAGGTTTATTTGGCCGAAGATGGAAGATGAGATTGAGACTTATGTTAAGTCTTGTCTCGTTTGCCAGTTGGATAAAACGGAAAAGAAGAAGGAAGCTGGTTTGTTGCAACCTCTGCCCATTCCAGAGAGACCATGGCAATCGGTTTCGATGGACTTTGTTGGTGGATTCCCGAAGGTAGAAGGTATGGCTTCCGTTCTTGTTGTTGTTGACCGTTTTTCCAAGTATGCTGTTTTTATGACTGCACTGCATGC